ATATATATATATATATATATATATATATATATATAAATATACACATATACACACATATATACATATATATACACATATACACACATATATACATACATTGCCTGGACAAAAAAAAGTTGCCACCAAATAAAAAAAGGGTCACACACTAATATTTTGTTGGACTGACTTTAGCTTTGATTACAGCAGGTAGTCACTGTGGCATTGTTTTGATAATTTTCTGCAATGTCACAAGATCTATTTCCATCCAATGTTGCTTAATTTTTCACCAAGATCTTGCATTGATGACTAGGCACCAGGCATGATGTGTGCAGCACTTTACCTGCCTCTCTTCTTAACCTGATGTACCCATGTTACGTCCACCATGAACATAAAATATTAAGGAGGACATGGGACACAGATATGGAGGTTCAAACATTCAGTTTATTAAAAAGGCTGCTGCTTCCTTAAAAAAGAAAGATTATTATGAACCCCCAATTCCCATGTCCACCCAAGAAACACAAAAACCCAAAGTATCAACTTAAGGATGGACCTGGTGACCCGGTCAAACAGAACAAAAAGGTACCGCAGCAGGCTAACCCTATACAGGGCCGTCGAAGCCGCTGCTGGTACCAGACTAAAATTATAAAAAACCTACAAAAATACCTTTTACAGAAGAAAAGGACGAAAACAGGACGACCAGTCCCATCAGGCCAAAGTTACAAAAAATATATAAAAAGTTAACAAAAATTACCTGTGGTGGCTGAGGCTGCCGACAGCAGGCCACAGCTCCAGGACAAAGAAAAAACAAGGCCCCAGGAAAAAAACAAGGGCAGCAAAAAAAAAAAGGTCCAAACAAGGAGATCCAAAAAGAGAGAGAGGCTGAGAGGTCCAAAAATGTGGGAGCATGAGAGTGTTCACAAAACAGTGAGCCTGAGAGAGCGAGCTCCCTGAAACCAGCCTATTTATGGGCGAGCGGAGAAGGCCACAGCACAAAACAATTAAAGGCTAATCAGCCAACCCAAAATCCAAGACATGTCCCAAGGACAAAATGATAAGGCCAATGTGCCCCAGTCATGTAACAGCCCATCACTCCGGAACAGGGTAAATCTAGACCCATCAAACTACATGACCTTCTTCCATTGCTCCAGAGTCCAATCTTTATGCTCCCTAGCAAATTTAAGCCTTCTTTCCAGTTAGCCTCACTGATTAGTGGTTTTCTTGACTACACAGCTGTTCAGTCCCAATCCTTTGAGTTCCCTTCGCATTGTACGTGTGGAAATGCTCTCACTATTAAGCATAGCCCTGAGTGCTACTGTTGTTTTTCTTCTATTTGATCTCACCAAACGTTTAAGTGTTTGCCGATAACTGTCATTCAGAATTTTTTTTCGGCCACATTTCTTCCTCGAAGACGATGGATCCCCACTATCCTTCCAGTTTTTAATAATGCGTTGGCCAGTTCTTAACCCAATTTTAGTAGTTTCTGCAATCTCCTTAGATGTTTCTCTGCTTGATGCATGCCAATGATTTGAACCTTCTCAAACAGACTGACATCTTTTCCACGACCACGCGATGTGTCTTTCAACATGGTTGTTTAAGAAATGAGAAGCAACTCATTGCACCAGTTGGGGTTAAATAACTTGTTGCCAGCTGAAAGATAATTGCTCATACAGTAATTATCCAATAGGAGGCTCGTACTTATTTGCTTAGTTAAATCCAGGTGGTGACCTTTTTTTTGGCCAGGCAGTGTATATATGTATATAGTCTGAGTGCGCATGTCTGTGTTATAGGGAAACAGGTCTCCTAAACGCTTTGAGTTTGCTGAAGACAACTGCTGATTATTTCCTTCATGTCATTATTCATCAGCAGTTTCATTTACCGGTTCGGCATTCTCCTTTTAATGAAAAGTCTCACTGTTACAAATGGTTTACCAGCTGAAAAGCTGCGCACACACACACATTTGCGATGGGGGAAGGTCAAACAACAAATGAGGAAGTGTTCTGTGACTCTGACCTTTGTGTTGCATGCACACTCTTTAACACACACCTGGAAGTAAGGAACAAACAACAGTAGAAACAGACAGGTGGGCAGGCTGAGGGGAAAAGATTAGCAAAAGCGTTCTTTTAGGCAGAGCGGGGGCTCGAGACGCTTCAGCTCGTCTTATTGTTTGGACTTTATCCGCGATGCTGCTTGCCGGTGAATCACCAGTGAACGGAGCTGTCTAAACTGTCCTCGCTGCTGCTGTATGTGATCTGACACAGGAAACGCGAGTGATGGAGTTAAAGTGTTCCCTGCGCTCAGATATGACAACTTTTTCTTATTGTCATCATTAAAAAAGCAAGAATAATAAGAAAAAGCAACACCTCTATCTGCTGGAGGAATTCCGGCCCGTCAGCTATTTTTGCGCCAGTCTTGCTTTCACTGTTTTGTGAAAGGAGACGTAACAAGGAAGGAAGGAAGGGGAGAGCGAGAACGACGCAGAGGGGAAGAGGCAGACGTGTTCAGTGTGAACGTGTTGGTGACAGTTGTCAGGAGCAGCTGAGAAGAGTAAGTGTTTACCTGCTTTTGTACGGGAACAACAATAGGGTTTCTGTAGAAAGTGATTAGCGTGGGGGACAGTTCAGTAAGTGAGTTTATGTTGTGATAAAGAGACAGACAGAGATGACAGTTTTGCTGTTCGATAGAAAGATGTCAGCGTCAGAGGTCTACTTAGTGTGTGACAGAAGGAATGACAGTGACACTGTTGCTCGTTCAAAGAGACAATGTAGCGCAGAATAAACTGACAAGCTGTACAATCAAAATAAAACCAACTTCTGCACGTGTTGCACAGGTACAAGCGGCTCTTCACCAATAGCTCTTCTTCTGTTGCTCCAGAGAAAAAGTGAGGAGACGACATGGTTCGGTGAGTCAAGCCTCTGCCGGACATCGTGATGCTCCGTTAGCGAATACTGCTTTAAAAAAACAACAACATTTTTTAGGGCTTATTTCTGCAGGGCTTGATGACAACTTCTCTGTTTCTGTTTCTCCTTCTGTCTTTTGTTCGCTCATCCTGCTCTGTTCTTCTATCATGTGATCTCTTGCATGCTGAAAGAGTGGCTGCTCAAGAGAGGAAAATGTGTCAGAAATGGAAGTTTTAAGTTCAGAGGTCGAGGAAGACACCTGTTGGTGTTAATGTCAGGCTTCCCTTTGTTGCTACTTTGTTCCTGTAGCTGCATATCATGTGTAAAAAAACAACGTGAACGCTCAAAGTAATGTATTTGATGGATTATGTGCAGTAAGCTAGTTTTCTGTGTTTCAGGGCTACTTTTTAATACACTTTGGTCATGAAGTAACTTCACTTGATGCAGAAACTCAAAAAAATGTTTTCAGAATAAATAAAAAAAACATTTAATCAAACTACTGTAACCATGACTAAGCTTCTGGATATTTCTTGTACTTTTGGCAATTTGAAATCACTACTTTTTATAAATTAAAAAAATGTTGTTTTTTTTTCTACAAACTATGCATTTTCAGAAATACTGAATTATAAATTTAGTTTGTGTAATAATAGTTGCATTTTGCAGGTGAGAACAAGCTGCAGCTGACCTGACATGTGTGACATTTTCATCATTCCGGTGCAAAAAGTTGCAATAATAAAACATTTCTGCTGCTGTGGTATTGTGCCAGTTTAACATAGCATGCAAACTAATAATAGCTATTGTTATAATTAATTTCTGTTTTTGAATGAGCTTTGGAAAAAGCCTGCAAAATCAATGCTTGTGAATATGTCAGTGAGTTGCAGTCGAGGGTAGAAATGATGCAGAATAATGCATTTTTCTTAAAGAATATCAGAAAATGAGGCCAAATGCTCATCAGAGGTTACAAGAAATGTTAGTCCAACTCTATTGGTTTACAACCCAGCTTACAGTAAATAATTCTGGTAAGTTTCCTCCTTCGTGTAGACTAATCACCCAGTCATTTCCTGCAATGGCAATTTTATTTCTAACTTCAGTTTTTATGACAGAAGACTACATTGTTTTGTGGAACTGTGTTTTAATGACTCAAATTTTCTAAATAAGTGCAAATGTGTTTGTTAAAGATTCAGATATTCAGATTTATTTGATTTAGATATTTATTTTTTTGGTTCTGATGCAGGTGGTTCCACAGAGACATCACTGGTCTGGAGGCTGAGGAGATCCTCAAAACTCGGGGCATCCACGGCACCTTCTTGGCTCGACCCAGCAAGAAAAGCGCTGGAGATTTCTCCTTGTCTGTCCGGTAAAAACGAACAACAACAAAAACTTATAAACGCTGACATCTCTGTTCAGTTTGTTTGGAAAACCTGATTGAGTCATGGAGGGTTCTTCTCAACAAAACCTGCAAAAACAGGATTTTTACATTTGCATTTTTTTATTTACTTCCCTAATGTATCGGCAGACTATAAATGTCACAGTTTCTTACAAATCTGAAGCGCATGGGATGGTAATTTGTCCATCGAGGGCGCAATAAGCAATGCTCAAAGCAGAAACATGACAAATTACTCCAACACCACAGAGAAATGATCGCAGATAAATCCAGTGTCTGCATATCTAATCCTGAAACCTTTGCTCTTTACCTTCACTGATGCTCATGAGGTTTACCTGATTGTAAAACCCATTTTCAGATGATAACAGAGCTGTGGCCTATTGGTCTAAGAAGTGTTTGCTGCTTGTTTGCGTCTGTGCTTCATTTAATTTTCGTCTGCACCACATGTGTGTGTCACCTAAATATCCCACGAACCACTGGGGGAGTTTTAATGAAATTTGCTGATAATTACTGGATGTAAATCTATAACTGAACAACTTTTAGAGATAATCAGTTCAAGATGGCTGCTACAGCTAAATGACATTAGTCTTCATAAAATGACTGCAGCTCATTCACATGCTGTGAGCGTGACATCCCAACATTGCATGAGGCCGTGCACGATGTCATTTTAAAGGAAGGGGCTACAATGTCATTTCTCATCTCAAAATTATCTTATTTTTTATATTTTATGGAGTTCTAGGCCTTTAGTTTAGTATATTTTCCAATAGTTGCAGTTGCATTTGTTTAAGAGACATTTGTTCGTTAAGGTAGCAGCTGTTTGGGTCAGTTTGCAGAAATCTATTGCCTAAAAGAAGACTGGTTCAAATTAAATACACATAATTACCATACCAGCTTTATTTATAGAGTACTTTAAACACCCACAGGACCAAAGTGCTGTACACATAATAAAACAATCATACAGCCAGGTAATAAAAAATGATTAAAACAATTAAAAGTGAACATCACAGATGGTTTCAAAGGCCAGGGAGAAGAGATGAGTTTTAAGAAGGGATTTAAAAATAGACAGTGAAGAGGTCTGTCTGATGTCCAAGGGAAGGTTAGTCCGTGATTTAGGAGCTGTCACAGAAAAAGCACGGTCTCCTCTGAGCTTATGCTCAGTTAGTTTGGTAATATGATAGTTTGGTTTTGTCTGTTTCGTCACTTTTCATCCATTTGTAATAAATGAAGAAACACTAGGGACTTTTCTTTCCTTTGACCGGCAGTGGCTGCAAGTGTAAAGTGGGTCAGTCACTTATTAAATGTTTATTGGTCCGAGCTATGGTTTCTTTTGTGCATCTCAAACCACATCGCAGAAAAATATTAAGCTGTTAAACTTTGCAAATGAGGAAACAGATTTTGTGGATAACTAAACTACGTTATGTGTAGTTTGTTTGAAATATAAGCATGATTTCAGAAAGTCTTAGTATTTTTCCCTTTTCTGTCTGGATGAGCTGTTTTTCGGCGGATTAAATAAATACTTTAATAATGACACCTATGTTTATTTAGGCTTTATAACCTTTGTTTGTTTGTTTGTCATTTTTATTCATTTCATATTTAAAACACAAAAACAATTTAGAAACCAAATGAAAAAAAAAAGTCATAAAATGAAAGGTAGCAGAAGAAGAAAAAATCTTATCATATCTGCCCCTTGTTTAAAACAAAATCAATTCAAACAATCACTTCAAACAATAATCATCTATAAGTAATATAACAAAATAAATAACTCATCATAATTTACATATTTATATGTATCTTTCCAAAATTTTAATCTTAATCATTTTCTTAAATATAGGCATTGACTTGACTTTTTTTACATCGTTTTCCAAACTATTCCACAGAAACCTCAGGAAGCTTACAGATATTTAACCATGACAGACGAGACGTTCTGTCCTAGCATTGTCATGCAGTAGTGTTTTTAATGCACCTGATCTTCTCAGCAAGTTAAAATCAGGAAAAAACAAAACTCTTGTTTTTTAATTTTTCTGCAGCGTGGCTGAATCTGTGACCCACATCCGCATCCAGAACACAGGAGACTTCTATGACCTGTACGGCGGGGAGAAGTTCGCCACCTTGTCGGAGCTGGTGGAGTACTACACAGCGGAGAACGGCATCCTTCAGGACAAAGACGGGACGACCATCGAGCTCAAATACCCCCTCAACTGCTCCGACCCCACCACAGAGAGGTCCGTCTTCTCCTTTGTCTTCCAGTGGGTTAAAACATCCTATATTCATTGTCCTCTCTGTTGGGTTGGCTGCACCTAGACTGGGGTTTGGTGTGACGCTGCTTGGTTAGGTGGTTGAGTTAAATATAGTCACCTGTGACCAAATAAATTTCCTCTAGAACAGCCAGGTTATGTTGCAAGGATAACAAGCGTCATTTGCCTGCGTTTGTTTATTTAACTTTCATCTTTTCCTCGTGGGAAAGGTCAGTTTTAAATATTTAAGGTGCACCACGGCGTTTGTCCATCACGGCGAGTCAGAAAAATACGCCCACGGGTTTGAGCTGTCGAAGATTCGTCAATTCTGCCTCGCAGCTTTTTGGATCACAAGTGATAAGTGTCGACACGAGCCGAGCTTTTACTCAAGCACTTCTCTGAAACACAACAGCATCTTATCTAAATGTTTCCATGTGTGAAACTAGTTTTTTCACTGCAGTGTTTAAAATGTTGCTATCAAAGATCCTCCTCAGTATATTCAAAGTGCAACTGATTTGAAACAAAACATGTTTTTGATAAAGTTTTATTTAATAAAGAACTGAAATTACATCAAATTTTAATCCTACTCATAAATATAATGTCAAACCCGAGGCGTCTCATTAATGGGCATCTTAAATTTGGATTTTAGTTGTGCAAAGCTTTGCACTTCTACAAAGTGTTTGAGATCATAAAAAAAGAAAAATCGCGTCAAACAAATTGTTTTTTAAAGAGGAAGCAAAGTTTAGCGCAACAAAAAGAAAAAGATTAATTACAGAAACACAATAATTGAACCAACATGGAGCAGCTCATTTATTTATGAACGTGTTGCAGGAAAGTCAGAATATTCTGTTTTTGTCAAATTATTACACTTCAGATGCAAGATTAACTTGTCCAGATTAATTCATAATAACAGTATAGTTGTTTTTTTGTTAACAAAAAAATGGGTAATTTGGTTTTCTTCCCTTTTTGTGGATAAATTAGCTCAATAAATCAAATGCACTGGATTCAAACAGAGAACCTGTTGCTGTAAATGCCAAAAGTCTGTTCGTTATCATGGCATCATTTATTATTTCACTTTAAACGTCATACGTACATCTGCATATCTCAACCTCCTGGTTTTAATTTGGGGGTTACTTTTTCTGATAATCAAAATATTGCTAATCTATCCACAAATTCTCCTGAAAATATTTCACTAAGACCTAAAAATAAAAAACTATACAATAATTTAAATATGCAGCAAAATCAGGATAAATTCATCTCTTTAAGCGTACAACATTTAGTCTTGAAGTTCCAGAAAAAACTGTAGGTTCTGTGTCTAATTTGACATTTAACACGTTACAGGAGAGATTCATGTTAGAACATGAAGCCATTGCAGTGTTTTTTACCTGAATGTGTTGCTAAAAGAGCAAAATGTGAAAATACACCCAATTCACAGGTTTCAATATCTATTTTCATCTATAAACTAAAATTTCCCCATCATTTAAAATGTTTTCAGCACATTTTTAAGATTAAAACCTATTAAAAACAAACCATCACACTTAGATAGTTTATTTTACTCTCGTTACTTTTTAATCAGTGTAATTTGTTTGTAAAAATTCTTAAACTTGTACATAAAGCACATGGCACTTTAATGAAAAAATACATTCAGTTAATTTAGTAAAATGACATAAAACCCTGGCTGAGAAAAGGAGCTTTATTATAAAAATATCTTGGAAATTTGGAAATTAGCATAACTTAAACTAATGGAGAAAACCTTAATTGGACAATTTTTATATATTTATTGAAATAAACTTTATTGGACACATTTTTTTCTTTCAGATCTTGTATAAAGTTGAATGGAAATTATTTGATTGTTTGATTGTATGAAGTGATAATCTCCAATTCGTCACAGAACATTTAGTGTTTGTTCGTCTGCAGTCGTTACAAAAACACCTACGATTTTTAACTGAACTTGTTCTTAAGTGCGCCTATAAATATGTTTTTAAATCTCGTTAGTCGTCTCATCGCCGCTCTTCTTTCTGTTTTTTCAAGCTTTGCGCAGCGTCTGACTGGTCATAAGATAACAGAGATTATTTGTGTCTGCAGAAGAGTCAGCTCTCACACGCACACAAAAAAGTGTCATTTGTTTACTTTTCTCTAAGGAATCTGAGTTAATTTTAGTGTTTTAAACCCACGTTTGCTGCTGGAAGCTGATTGGTGGAGTTTTCCTCCCAGCTGGAAACTCCGAGCTGCTCAAAGTAGACCAACTAGCCGAACGTTTGAGTCAAGAAGGACACAACTTTCTGCATTTTTTTTGTGAGACAGAACTTTACCCTCTGCCACCCCCACCCTCCTTGTCCGCTCTCTCTCTGTCAGTTGTCTAACTTCCCTTTTGTTGCTGCGGTTGGAAACTTTAAGTTTTGACACTTTTGAAAGCAATGGCCAGACCCTGCTCGTCTTCCTCTATTGCACACTCCATCATGTTCTTGTTCGCGCCCTATCTTCCTCATCTGAACCCCCGAGTCTCTGTCGTTTCAGCAAAGTGCTACTGAGTTTTGCATCTCAATCTCTTCTTGGCGCTCCCTTCCCAGGAGAAAAAACTCAAAACGATCAAGAGAACGACGTGCACACACGTGCATGTTGAATTTAAATTTGCCCCTCTAACTCTATAAAGTCCTGCATCTTTCAGCAAAGCCCCAAAGTTTCTGCACAAGCGTGTCGCAGGCTCTTGTGCAGTTTTTGTAGCAGAACTTAACGATGAAGACAGTGAAAGAGCCGCTACAATTAATTAATTAAGACATTAAGACCACGCAAGCAGTGTAAAATATTACTCGGGAGGGTGGGGGGTAGTGGAGGCAACAAATCGAAAGGGGGCAGGCTATAAATACTTTGTCCTGTTCAGCCACTAAATCTGTCATCAGAAATTTTCCGACCGCAACGCAGGAAGTTTAGAAAAAGAAATCGAGAACTGTGCCTAAAATTAAGTCACACACAACCCGACTGAGCGTGTGTTCTTGAGCGCGCACACACGCACTACAGTGGTGGACATAATTATAAGTGACCTGCTTAGAGCAGCAATATCTGCACATGCTGTTTAACTATTTTTTTTAAATCTAATTTTAATCTAATGTGCAGATTTAGGATTATTGTGGTCTTCACTGTACACTGCAGTACAGTGAAGCAGACAGTTTCAGGCAGCTGCTGCACCCTGACTAACCTGACTTTTGTCTTTCACCCACCCTGAAGGGCCCTCAGCTCATGTAGGAGGCAAGCAAGTTTGTGTTTAGACTTTTCCATGCAGGTTGCATGGAAATATAGATATTTTAAAATGTGCAGGAGAAAGAAAGTGTATAATCCTAAACTGTCTTTTGCTTTGAGCTGAACTAAGGCTTCACAGTTGTTGTTGCAATGTTATTGTTGAATGTTGCAAGGACAGAATGTGAACAAATACACATTTTCTTCATTCCTGTCTGTTTTTTCTACTGTCATCAAAACACTTTAAAATAGGTAAGATAGTCTCACTGAGAGAACAAAATTCCCGAGAAATTCTCCATAATGTCCCGAAACGTTGTCTCCGTTTCCTCATGTTAGGCTCACAGGCTTGTTGCTTGAATTCAAAAACATAGTGCAACAAAGCCTCTCTCAAAAATAGCCACAGAGTCATTGCAGATGTCTCGAACCCTTCTCAATTTGGTTTCCTTAAATTCTAAAGAACTAGAGCTGTATTTAAACTTCCACACGAGAGCTTTTCTGAAGACGGAAAACATCCGAGGCAAACGTCCATGTCTGAAAACCACACTGATGATAAAAAACAATGAGTACAAACAGACCCTAATCTAATACTAAACAGATTTAACCATAAACATGGAGGTGGCTGCCGACTTGGGCAGGATGTGGGCGGAAATCAGCGACCAAGTAATGTGCCCAGGAAACAGTTTTGTACATTTTTAAACAGCACTTTTCAACAATCAAAACGTTGCTGCACAGCTCACTTGGTTTCCAAAACTGAGTTCAGTGAGACTGCACCTATTTTATTGCTATTTTTAGTCGCAGCCCAGTGAGATGCTACCTTTAGTGTCGCTTCAGCATTTCAGCTACACTTCATCAACGCCAGATTTTATGTTTTATAGCAACTAGGCCTGTCGCGATAAACAATAAATCAATTAATCGCATGATAAATTAAAATGATCTGCCTCATTTTCATTTATTGGCTTTATCATTTCTTCATGTCTCTCTCTTTCTACTGAAGACATTGGATGACAAAAAACTCAACTCCGGTGCTCTTCACTGACCCCTCCCTTTCTCTTTTCTCTCTAAAATCCGTTTTAACCGTCCAAAATTGTGTTTTTGGATCGTTAAAAGCAGCTAAGCTGAGAAGCTAAGCTACGAGCTAAGCTAGTAGGTCGACCTTGGGAAAAAACCTCCGTCTTGTCTAAGCTCCAAAATTCACGGTTGAAACCCGTGCCTTCATGTAAAAAGTTGTTTTTCTCTGCAAAAAGAAGTTGAAAACTTGTTTACTGATTTTTTATTAAAAGCTTTGTGTGAAAAATGCTATGCTAAAGAGCTCAAAGCACACCGAGCGTCCACCATTTTGAGAACTGAAAAACAGGAAGGAGAGACAGCCCATGTCATATCAAGGGGCCTCCCTCCCATTTTTCTTAAACAGACACACTGCTCGCTCCCTCACTATCCATCCTTTGGGGTCAAACAGTCTTATACTGCCATCCAGTGGTCAAAAAGATACTACACTCAAAATAAATAATCAAACATTTCTTCTTAAATTTGACAATAATTACTAATTATTGCCAAATTTCAAACAATATTATCGTTTATCGCAATAATTTCGGAGGCAGTTAATCGCCCAGCAAAATTTGTTATCGTGACAGGCCTAATAACAACCGCTCTTACGTTGAACAGAAAAATCATCAGTGTTCTCTTGTGTCTCAGGTGGTACCATGGTCACCTGCCCGGCCCAAAAGCAGAGAAGCTTCTCAACGAAAGAAACGAGTCGGGAACCTTCTTGGTCAGAGAGTCGCTGTCCAAACCCGGGGACTTTGTCCTCTCCGTTCTGACGGATGAAATTAGCAAAACAGGAGGGAAAAGAGTGTCCCACATCAAGATTATGTGCCAGGTGTGTTTGCTGCTTCTTCTTCTTTTTTGTTTTTGTCTGAGTTTACAGAAATAGAACCAGACTCTGGTTACATTTAAAGATACTGAGGGTTATTCCCAGAATTGTGCAGCAATCACAGAAATAAACTCTTGTTTCCCTTCTTACACAATAACAGGCTTTTGCTCATATTTCAACTGTCAGGTGTTCACCAGCGTTTTTAAAGGCGTTAAGCATATTTCCTTCTTTTTAAGGTGTTTTCAGAGTTAACTGTGCCAGAGTGCAGGAATGTATGAACATGAGTTTAGATCTGGCGTCGTCAGTCACCTTGAGGGCCTTTGCATTTTATTTTTAGCTGTGGTTGACCTCATTGACAACACCATTCAGCGTTTATTTAAATGAGAGGCATTGTTTCTGCACAGCGTGTAGAAGATTATCTTCAGATTTCTTAAAAGGGTCAAAAAGACTTTATGTGCGAGCTCAGAGCTGAGTTCAGGCTCGTTTTGTGCTCTAATCCTCTAATCTACTGAAAGTAGCTGAAGTGTGGGACAACATTCGTTTATTCCTTTCACGGTAAGTAAAATAGTTTTATGGCTGCTTTTATGCTTTAATGGCAGAAAGTGAGGAAATGTTCATTAAAGTTGGACTTTTTCATTCAAGAGCTGCTTTTTACCCCACTATAGATATATTCTCCTCATATTGTTTCTAATTGAACTTCATAGTTTTTTTTATTAACCAAAACTGGGTCTGTCATTATGTATATTAAAAATATATCTGTTTCAGATGATCTTTAGTTGTTTTTCCCCACCAGATGATTTTGACGTGATGCGTTTGTGTGACACTTGAGTTTTCCTCTCAGAACGACAGGTATACGGTGGGAGGCTCGGACATGTTCGACACGCTAGCAGACCTGGTGGAGTATTACAAGCGCGAAGGCATCCAGGAAATCTCTGGGAACTGGGTTTATCTCAAACAGGTGAGCCGAGCTTTTCCACACGAACAGAGAGGAAACATCGTATTTTAATAATAATTTTAAAAGGTTGTTTCTAACAGGACCTCAGGTCGACAGCAGCCCACAGATTGGAAACATTCAGGCCGACGTCGTGCAACGCTCTAATTTCTGTTATAATTCATCCTCCTGCCTCTCTGTGCCTCCTCTGCAGCCATACTACTCCACCAGAGTGAACGCAGCCGACATCGACAGCAGAGTGAAGCAGCTGGACCTGACAGACAAGCAGCCGGAGGGCGACGGCGAGAAGAGCAAGGCCGGCTTCTGGGAGGAGTTTGACGTAAGATTAAATCTGGCCTCGGCCGTGTTCATGTCACGGTTTCACACAGAGGTCTTTTTTTTTTCTTTATCTTTGATCAAAGAACCACATGAATATCTTGAAGTGGATTAAATTAAATTAAACAACAGTTTCAGTTTTAGACCATCATTTTCCATCAGCCTTTCAAAGTGGGGCAGAAACGAGTGTGGAGGTGAAATTCTGCCCTCTTGTGGCGAAAATATGCACGACAGGCGTTTGTCGCCCAATAAAATAATATATGCTTTTAAGTTGCAATTACTGCTGACTTATCAGATATTGTTAATAACAGCTTTCTTACCCACACCTGTAAATTTCTTATTTTGTTCTTAGGTGATTGTAAATAAGGTTTATGTTTTTTTATTACTAGTTATTTAGTTATTTTCCTCCAAATGTAATAAGGTGTTGCGGTCTTTTATTTTAGTAAAAAAAAGCAGAGTGGTTACCAAATTAAAGTTTTTAACCCTCACATATTATTATGGGCACTGTAATGTGCACAAGCATTGAGCTAACTTAACATTTTTATTGTTCAACGTCAAAAGAGGCCGACCTCTCCACATTCCTTCAGGTTTTCTGGAGGTTTTTATTTTTGCTGTCGGCTTTTTTCACTTCTTTTAATTTTAGTCTTTGCACCTGATCTTTTCTCACAGGAATAGTTTTTCTTTTGTTTAGTTTTTGCTTGTGTAAATTGAATTTTTGGGCACTTTGTTACCAGCAGCCAGTCACAAAGACCCAGCTCTTTTTTTTAAATAAAGAGTTTAAACTGTTTGTCAGACGTAAAATATTTCCTCAGAGCCGTTTCCCTGAAAGACGACTGAAACATGATTCGTCTCTCGCGTCTTGCGTCACGTCTTTACCAGAACTTTTCCTGTTTCTTCAGGTCATTCCTTTCAAACGTGTTTCATTTGATGAGAGGATTTGTTTTTCAGCCTCATTTCTTCTTTTGTCTTCTACTTGTCCAGTTTCATCAAATTTCTGGATACGTCACATCGCGCCTGTTTTTTTAAAACTGGATTTAACTGAAAATTATTTTAAAAATCACTTTCATCACTCTTGGTAACTAATTATGAAAAGGTTTGTCTTCTCAGAAGCTGAATATAGAAACTTAGGGATGACTCGAGATCTGAGTTCAGTGGATGATTAAAAATGAAGCGTCAGTTTCTGAAAGGAGCTTATTACAGCCTGACCCGCTTTATGTTCGGGTTTATGTCCAACACCAGATGGATCAAAGGTCATGAGGTTTGAAACCTCTCGCACAAATCTGATTTTATGTTTTTTAACATGTTACCTTTTTTAACTTTTAACTTTTTGGCCAAATTTAGATGAAAAATTTAATAAAAGCATGTGAGAAATTTAGATGTAAAGTTTTTTTTATTTTGGGGTTTGTTTGAATAACTTAAAAATGTAAAAAAAAAATAAAAAAAAATAAAACGTGTTTGTGTGTCAAACTTTACTTTTTTTCATTTTGAATTTTTATTCTTACTGAATTACCATTTATTCATTTTTATTATCTGAATGTTTATTATTTTTAGATATTTTTTGTTTCTCTAAACAGTCACCGTGATGCAGAACTGTGTTTTCTGTCAAATAAAGAAAACGTATCAGAATTTAAAATTTGTCCCCAAACTTTTGACAGTCCAAACTAATTTATTTTAGCCTTCTTCATGTGTTCTAATTAAGTTTTTTTTATATATATATAATTTGTTTTTTAAAATTATTAAGTTAATGTAATTAATTCACGTTAATGTAGAAAAGAACATTTATATTATTTTTCCTGAAATGGTCTTCTGTAGACGTAAAAAGTAGCTGAAATTAGACATTTAGTTGCTTAAGTAGGTATTATTTTATTCTTAATGACCTAAATTGTTTTAGTACCTTTTACGAGACCTTAGAACACTTTACATTAAAATTAAACAATAAAAACAAACAGAAGAGTCAGTTTAGTGAGGATTAATCGTGCAGCTTTGCCAGAAGCTGTGAAGTATATATATATTAGTTTGTCACATTATGTCATGTCTAACATCATAAATGGAGTAAGCGGTGATGAGGTGGGACTCAGCTGTTCTTCTCTCTCCTGTCACAGAATCTTCAGAAGCTGGAGGCGAAGGTGAAAAAGAGCAGAGAGGAAGGTCAAAGACCAGAAAACAAGAGCAAAAACAGATACAAGAACATCCTGCCCTGTGAGCGTCTCTTTTCAGTCTTCAGTAAACAAAAGTCCTGCTCTGCTGCGAACGGCCGCAGAACGCTCACCCTCTTCTTTCTCTCTCAAAGTCAACGACACCAGGGTCATCCTGAAAAACGCCGATCCGAACGTCGTCGGCTCCGATTACATTAACGCCAACTACGTGAAAGTGAGTCTCCGGTAAACTCGACGTCAGACGGACACGATGGGAACTCGATTCCTGACGTTGAGTGTTTTCACGTTTTCAGAACAAACTGTGGGAGTCCGGAGGACAGAAAGTTTACATCGCCACTCAGGGATGCCTCGTGACGACGGTCAACGATTTCTGGCAGATGGTGTGGCAGGAGAATACGGCTGTGATCGTCATGACAACAAGGGAGGTGGAGAAAGGACGGGTCTGTATCAAAGCAACAATCTTTTATTGTCCTTTAAAACAAGTGTGTTGATATGAAAACTATAAACTATGTTCATACACCTGGTTATTAAATATAGTTCACGCCATTTCCATTAAAAGATGCATTTAAATAAATTATGATGTTTTAATTGAGATATAAGTTTCCTGTTGCACATGTTTGGTTAAAAATTGACTTGGAAGTGGCACAGGAACCTAAATAAATATTAGTCTCCTAGTTTTACTTTTAAAATGAAAATAAGCAGAATTGTTTGTTTGCCTTTGTTTTGAGTGTTTTAAAGCTTATTACTGATAAGATTACGAAACCTGAAATACACTCAAGCCTGTTTTAATTTCAAGGCTTTTCAAAATAAAATTGTAAACAACAATCAGAGCTGAGCTGATCTAATATTTTCTTTGAAGGCCTGTTTTACGAAGCTTTGATGACTTCATGAAGGTTAGGAAAATTAATAGTTGCAACTGAAGACATTTTATTAAGAAGCAGCAGCAAAAGTGTTGAAAGTTAGTTGATTAAAGTGTGCACAGTACCAATAAGTGTATCAAAAGCCAAAAACTAAAATATCATTAAATGTAGAAAATGTTTTCAATAAATGCAAATTAAAAAAAATTTATGTTTTCAGTTTAAGACAGAATTAATGTGAATTTTCTTTCTGTGCAGAATAAATGTGTGCCGTATTGGTCAGAAGTTCACGGCTCCAAGGAGGTGGGAGCGTACGTGGTGAGCTGCGTGTCGGAGCGGGAAGCTGCTGATTACAAAGTCCGGGTTTTGGAGATCGCTCCTGTGAACAAGGTCACTCCTCCCGGCACACATACGTCACATGAAAACACGTTGAGTCATCCCTCAGCCCGGATTTTCTCACAATCTTTGAAAGCCCCCTTCTATTTATTTTTTTCTTCAGGCTTTCTGGAGATCTCCAGATTTTTTACACTCATTTTCATTATTATCTGAACATATTCAGAAGTCTTTTGTTTGTCTGTTTGATTTTTAAACTACTTAACTGCAACATGTGAATCATTCAAGCATAAAAAGTCTCCTAAACTAAAGGAATGTTGTGCTGACATGTTTTAAAAGAGATAAGCATTTTGTTTCCAGCAGTGGGTCACAAAGACATCACAATCCTTGAAAAATACCCATAAAATAAGTATTTTAGTACCAAACTCGCTGATTCTCAAACGCTATTTGCCTAAAACCTGCAGATGATCAACTGAAAGATGACACGCATCTTAGGCCCTACTAGTTTTTGAAATAATATTTTCAGATACTGTGCATCTGCTGGAGACAACTTGTTCACTTTCCTAATTTATTGAGCACAAACTGCACATTATATTATCATGGGTACAGGAATTGGACAGAAAATGAATAAAAAAGGAGCCAAAGTCCAAAGAACAACTTTGAAAGACCTTCAGAAAGCCTGAAGAACAACTTTTAAAGATTATACAAAGTCTGACTCCTTGGAAATAATGTATTAAATATATTTATATTTTATTTTATAAAGAAGAAATTTAAATTTGTATGCCTCCTTTGTGACTGTCTGTTGTTGTCCACTGTTGTCATCACTCTTTGTTAAGAAATCAGGTCTCTCTTGTAAAGTAGTCCCGGAGGCTCAATGGGATTATCCTGTATTAATAAAGGCTGAATGAATAATGAGTTGGTTTTGGCAAGTGGGGATGGATGAAGAACCCATATGAGCGGTGGCGTCGTAGGTGGGCCCATTGCTCTCCCCAAAAAGTCCTTGAGCTTTATTCAAACCTTCATGACCCTCAGATGAAGGACGCAAGGTCTGAAACATTCAATGTTCTGAGCTTCTTGTGATCCTTGAAGGGTTCCCAAGAATTCTTTCTCTTTGGCTGCTCAGAGCCAGACAATAGCCTAAATAGTGCAAAGAGGTCTGTAGTTCAATGCCACAGGCATCACAGACCATTGTCATGGAGTCCCAGCACCATTCAGACATCAAGGGCTGCCGTGGGTGTTGTTCTAATGGGACCAGTGGTGCTCAGGCAGGCCGTTCTTTGCACGTGGGTGAGCATCACTCTTGCCAGCCCGACTCCTGCCCACCATACTAAAGCAGCGTAGCATAGCGTGGTGCGGACTGTGGCCATGTAGATCCATGACAACCTTTAAGGTTTCACCTCAACAACTACCTGCAATTCTGCAGCACTGACGTAAGCACATTGTAGCCTTCTTGCACTTTTTATTTACATGTTTTTTTCAGTTAAACTTAGAGAGACAACCAGAAACTTAACTGACTCTGGAAGGTTTTACTCCCTAAAATCTGGAGGTGAATAACCCTTCCTTGGCTTCTTATGGGTGAAAAGAACCAATTCTGTCCTGTTTGGGTTGACAGAAAGTTCCTGCTCCCAGCATCATCTGGATACTATATTTAGTCCCCTACATTATGTTACATACAGTACAGGCAGAAGCCTTCTATAAGTATGACCAAGTCATCTGCTTGTGTATGGAGTCTAGGTCTATTTAACTCATTTAGTCAACAACCAGGCGCCAACACAGGCGAGATCACCCCTTCCTGTGGACAGCCCCCTCTGAGGTTAATGGTTACTGTACAGTCCCGCAGAGTTGAGGATGCTTTTCTTGTCCGAAACATGAAAACCAATTTATTGTTGTCTCATCCACACCTTTGCAGACAAATGCTCTCTAGCTTCTACGGGTACATTATCGAATGCTCCCTGTATGCTCAAGAAGCAGCCAAGCACATATTGTCCCCATGCATGATGAAACCATGAGTGAACCTTTAGTGCATGTACATTTAAATAAAAAAAATTATGATATGCTGACTTGTTTTTTGTTGTTGCTCCCAGCCCAATCTTTCCCGTACAGTATGGCACTACCAGTACCTGAGCTGGCCCGACCACGGGGTCCCTCAGGAGCCAGGTGGAGTCATCAGCTTCGTCACTCAAGTCAACACAAAGCAGGCTGAATTTCCTGACGCCGGTCCAATGATCATCCACTGCAGGTGCTCCACATCTAAACCTTAACACTTCAAACTTTAAACGACGTACTGAAGGATGTGATTTTAGATTTTTTTATTTTAGCTTTGTGAGAATATATCACTGAGGCTTGAAAACTTAAAAACAAAACAGTCTGTGATGAAAAATAACACATTTTGAAGATTATGTTTAGTGCGTTTGGAAGTGAACAAAAGGCATTCAGTCAGCTGATTGTTTATCCTCTTCTGTGATTTAAGGGAACCTCGCGCTGTGTGATTACGTGATCTGTGGTATTTTTAGTATGCAGACATGTTCATGAAACCTACAAGACTTTACAGGCTTTCTCAAACTCTGTGCGTTTACTCTACCAGAGCTGTGAAACGTTTGTCCCGCCAACTAATTCACTGACATTAACTCCTCCTAATGTTAATTAATTATCATATTCTGATGGGCTGATATGCTAATCTGTTCATGTTTACATCATTTGGCTGAAAAACAGGAGAAAAATAATAATCTCTAGCTGTTTGTAAATGCATTTGATCAGGTAGCTCTAAATCATAATCTGCCTTTAAAAGATGCAGTCGAACATCAGAAAGAAACCAACATTTTATTTGTTCATATATTGCAGTAAAAATTTGTTTTGAGAAAGTTCTTCTGAATTATCAAGCAGCTTGGCTCTTTTTGAACCATAATTGTAACTTTTTTTTTTATTGTTTAAGATCTTAAGTACTAAAAAAGCATTTTTGTTTGAACTGTCTTCCTTAGACTTAAATCTCCCACTTTTTGAGGGAGTGGATGGGTTGTTGTGGTGGAAACAACTAACCAAAATGTTAGCTTCAATAACCCATACGCCGCAAACTAAAATTAGCTTTGCTAATGCTAAACAGCTAAACAAATAAAAAAATTAGCGGACGCTAACGCTAACCACTAAGACGACTGTCACTCAGTCTGCGTCACATGTTTTCGTCTCCTCCCAGTTGAAGCTGTGTCGACCTATCACGTCTTGTCACGTGTACACGTAGTACGCCAGTAGCATGCCAGTAGCATGCCTAACGGACTTTTTGAGACGCGCCCACAACAGACAGGAACAAGATTGTGAATTTTGTTAGCAGACACGAAGGTGGCAAAACCTAATTTATCTGAAGCTAATTCCGTTAACGTTTTCCAAAGTTAGTGACAACGCTTATCCGCTAAACAAAAAAATGCCCACCACTGTATCTAACAAAGTGTGACCTGCTTTAAATTGTTCACATTTTTTGTATTAAAGCTAGAAGTAAAGAAAAAAGGAAGAAATTTATTAAAATAAAACCTGTTGTAGATGGCTCTTTGGACGACTTTGGTTTGAAGAAAAGGTGTTTACCTTTAATTGGAACAGAATTGACGAGCTAATGGCTAGTTTGAGTCGGGTTGAGACCAAAGTGCCGTCTTAAAACAACTTCTGTTTTGTAATGGTTCATGCAAACTCAGTTTTACAAACATTTAAATCACTGTCAGCTTTGCATTACATGGTTAATGGGGCAGAAATATTGTGATACTCCTTCTGGAAATGCGACAGCTAGTTTCTGCTGCCTTACTCCTGCTAACCACTGAATTTTATATAAATAATGGTTTAATACAAGACTGCGAGGTCTTGACCACACTTGGATTAGTTGTTAGCTCATTGTCTGATCAGGATTAAACTCCCAATTTTTCATCTGAAGTCGTTCAATGAACTATCTATCTACTGCAGGTAAGATATTTGTTGTTCTTAACAAAGAACTATAAAAATCTGATTGGTTTCTTTTATTTTGGTGTCATTGTCATTTAAATAATTAACTTATCCAATATTTTGATTCCTGACTAATTCCAGGCACCCCCCCCCCCCGATTAATCCAGCAGATTTATTGTCATTGAGCTTGTTAGCGCGTTCGTATTAGCAGCATCTGTCAGCAGATGTGTCGTCAGAACACCTGGCAATGCTCCCTTCTGCATGTCATTTTTGTTGGTTGAAATATAAATTAACTTTTTGTTTTCACAGTGCTGGAATTGGTCGGACGGGTACGATCGTGGTTATTGACATGATTCTTGAGGCTATTGACACGCTAGGTACAAAGGTTATTTTAAAGATTATTTAAAGGTCATTGTTTCCTTTCTGCTCATTGCCTTTTGGTCTTATTTAATTTGTTTTTATGTTTTGTAGGTCTGGACTGTGATATTGACATCCCAAAGTACATCCAGATGGTTCGAGAGCAGCGCTCAGGCATGGTGCAGACTGAGGCTCAGTATAAATTCATCTACCTGGCTGTATCCGAGTATATACAGACCACCAAAGCCAAAGAGAGTGCCTCCAAGGTGAGAAAGTTGCACAAAAAAGTCTAGAAACTCCGCTCAACCCCTGATTCAAACCTTTTATGTGCATAGTGGTTTCAAGGAAGACGCAGCCAATTGTTCACGTGTCAATAGATTGCACTTTAAACTGCTGTTCTGTCTGGTTCAATGCCAGCAGAGCGATCTGCTATCGGAGCAGGTGACCGTTGACCCAGAGAGACAAAACAATCAAACACAAAGGCCAAACTAACGTAACGACACAATATTTCTCTGTTTGACTGATGCTTAACAGACGTGTGAAACTCTCTGTCTTCCTCAGGAAACGGACACGGAGTATGGAAATCTGCAGCTCAAGCACCAACCAGCCAGCAGGAAGGTGTCGAAGTGAGTGAGAGACTCGAAACGTTCACACCTCTCGTTTAAATGTCGCACCGCTGCTCTGTTTACTTTAACAAACATGACTCAGTCGATGTTCGAGGGCTGGCGGTTTGTAGGCGGAGCTGACCTGAAGAACAGACACGGAACTCTGGGAGGAGGGGGGAGGGGGCTGCAGCTGGACTTTGGCTGAAGATTATTAGATTATTATTATTATTATTATAAAAGGCAGGGTGCATGCTGACAGCTGAAGCGAGCTAGATGCTAATTGTAGCCTAAATGTAGCCGAAACTAAAATTATAAAACAGAAAATTATAAAAATAATATTTAAAACTAAAATTAGCAAGACTCTAAATGCTAAAATTAGCAAAACTGTAGCTAAAGGATAATATTAATAAAACAACAGCTAAAAACTAGCAAAATTGTAGTTAAAACTTAAAATAAGCAAAACATGAGCTAAAAGCAAAAATTTGAAAAACCTAAAAGAAAAGCTAAATTTACCAAAACATTTTCTAAAATCTTAAATTAGCAAACTAGCAGTTAAAACATAACATTTGCAAAACCAATGCTATAAGCTAAAATGAGCAAAAAGCTAAATGTGTCTGAACCATAGATGAAAGCCAAAATTAGCAAAACTGCAGCTAAAAGCTAAGATTGGTAAAAATGTGGCTAAAAGTTAAACTAACAAAACACTTAAAACCCAAAGTTTAGCCAGCTCGTGGCTAAAATATTTACTAAGCTAAACCACAACTAGACGCTACAATTAGCAAAACGGTAGTTTAAACCTATAATTAGCAAAACTGCAGCTAAAAGCTAAAATAAGTAGCATAATAAAGACAAAAATAAACCACGTGTGCTTTTAAAGAACAGTGTTTTAGAAGGAAATGAAGAGATTTCTATTTGAGGATTTTTTGTAAAGTTAAATAGTTCAGTAAAGTGGAACAGTTACAAACAGTAAAAGTCATAACACACTTTTAATGATTGATCCAAATGTTTTGATTTATAAATGAATAAAAAATATGTGGAAGTAGTTTGATGGATGACACACAGAAGAAACTATAAACAGTAGAAAATGTTGATAAAGCTGAGTCAGCATCCACACTATTACAAGAAGAGAATTTAGTTGACAGAATTGTTTTATTTAATAGTGATTATATCTTATTTTTAATCTCATGTATCATTTCTGTGAACTTTCCATGAACATTTGGGAGTCCAACCATGATTGTGATGTTCCAATGTGTGCCTTTAGTCAGTCGGACACCGGGGTTAACTACCCAACATCCGGTTCAGTCTGTTTAAATTATAACCCGAGTCGCCCCTGCAGCATCCAAGCTTTAAAACTGATAAAAATGAGGTTATGAGGGCCTGATTCTCACACTGTTCAGCTGCAGACTGCTTATTTTTATGTTGCTGGAAGCTTTTAGTCAGTAGCTTTAGTTCCTTTGCTTTCCCGGCATTTTTTCTAAAAACTGTCAGCGTCTGAAATCTAAAAAAAAAACCCAGCAAAACGTCACATTCAGCCACAGACTGAGATTTGCTTGGTTGGTAAACCTTTATCTTTGGATTGCTTTGGTTCTAAAATGCACATTTAACATCCTTTGTACAGCAAACATAAATAGCTTTTTAGTCACTGCCCGCTGCAGCACGGTTAGTTTTGTGTGCTTGGCGAGCAGGTGGCATGTTCATATCACAGCTGATAAGAGCCGGGATGATAAATAATCAGTGTAAAATTACATATACAGATTAATCAAATGTCAGTGTGGAACATTTGGTCATCTCTTACTGATTACTGGAATAGTAAAGGTGTGAAAACTTGTACTTAAAAAAAAAATTGTTTGTGCTTTTTGAAGTGAATTTCTGTGAAGTTATTGTAAGTAGTCAGTATTTTACCTGCAGCACACAGCAATCAGCATGATCTCAGTTTGGAGAATCAAAGAAATTCTCATAAAGCAGACTGTCTATAACAGCTCAAAAAATTAGAATAATTCAAGTGAATGACCTGAAGTGAACTTCCACAGTGCGCTACTTTGACATCAGACTGTTACCGTGATGACCCTGGGTGTTGACACTGAAGGCTGACGGTGATGAAAAATCAACATTGCAAAACGGACTGAGTTAAATATATCCAGTTTAACTTTCTGATGTAAAAGTAACGAAGTGTAAAAAGCAACAACAGCTTAACAAGGCAAGTTTTTACAACCTGCAGATAAAAAGCCCTTTGTTTGTCTGTTTCACTGTCAGAAAACATCTGTGTGACTTCTTTGCAGTTTCACAAACAAAAAGAAACAATGTTCAGATTATGTAACTATAAGCATGAAAGAGGCCACAGATTCTCAGCAGTCAAACATTAAACAATAAAGTGCACTTTACACTCCGTCCCTGCTGCCGGCAGCTTTGACCAACTCATTTGTTTGTTAAATTTTTCTCACGCTGCCACCCATTCTATTTGTCCTGAGTCTACTCAGATCCGTGGCTCATCAGTCCTCACAGATGTGTCAAAGTCTATTTGATTCATCTCTGAGGAAATCCCTAATCTGTTTTGCTTTTTCTCACTTTGCAGAAACAAGGAAGACGTTTACGAGAATGTGTCAAAAGGAAAGAAAGACGTGAAAAAAACAAAGACTGAGAAGAAACCTGGCTCAGTGAGGAAAAGATAGAAGACTCCGAGATGTTTTTTATGTCGTATTTATGAAGGGAGTTATTTTTTTAAAGGGGTCGTTAAGTGGAGAGCATCCAAAAAATAAATGTTAAAAATGATAATGCTGAATTATTATTGACATTTAGTTATAGAAATAATTTCCGAATTATTTGTTTGTTAAAAAAATAAATAAACGTGGAATGGGTGAAAAATTACTGTGTTGTGTCTGACATCTCTGTCTGTCATGCTGCAAGCTAGCAAGTGGCCAACTAGCTAGTTTGCTAGCCGGAGCATGTGGTGCTGTTTGTTTTTCAGGATAAATTGTAATAAAGTCTGTTTTCTTGTCTGTACTGCAAGATTTAGCTTTGCAACAAAAATGTTTTGTGACATTCAAACGTAGTAAAGTTGGAGTTTTGTGTGTGAGGATGTAAAAGTGTTGATTTCCCTTCCCTGTGGGTTCAGTAGACGTTCAGTGATTTTTAAACTCCCCACCTGAGCTCATGTAACCAACAAGTGACCGTCTAATCTGCCTAAAGTTACGACTAAAATCTACTTTAGCATACTTGCTCTAGTTTTGTCTTTTTATTCTACTTCTAGTTGTAACTAGCATTTTACTTCTTTCGTCTTTTAACTATACTATACAAATATATACTATTTTCAGGTCTCTCTTGTAAATGAGTCCTCGAGGCTCAATGGGATTTACTTTAAATAAAGGTTGAATGAATGAATACGTTAGACCAGGGCTGTTACTGTTCAGTTACTGAACGCCAACAGCTCAGGGGTCGGACATTGCCTCTGCTCCAGATCAAAATACGCTGTAAAGGAAGTTCTTTTTCTTCTTTGGTGTTTTACGGCGGATTGCATCCACTCTGTTGCATTACCGTCTCCTTGAGACCATGCCTACATTTCTGTAAAGGAAGTTTCAAAGTCAAAGTTTCTTTATATGTCATCCAAATAGTTCATCCAAAATTTTCACTGACGCGAAACGTAAAACTGTCGATCTGCGTTCGATTACTCCATGGCTTTGGATGTGTGACACAACAAAACTGAATTTTGAATATCGAACTGTAGAACTGAAAATGAAAATAGTCAAGCTGAATTTTCCATACAGTGATATACATTTTCAAAGCAAATGAATTCATTTTCAAACCATTAAATTCAGTTTCAGTTTAGTGAAATTAATTTTCAAACCAGTGGATTTAATTTCAAATTACGTGAATACAGATTCAGTCAGAACAAATCTAATTCAGTTTCTTATGGTACAAGTTTCTGCTCATGCTACAGCAGCACCTTCACTAAACACAAGTCTTTGTTTTATTAAGACTTTATTAAGGACACAGAGCATCTGGTCTGTAGGCAAGGTTGAAATAAAAATAGCAGTTTATCAGTTAATGTAAAGAAAAGGACAGGGGAGATAAAAAAAAAAAAAACCCACAAAACATTGCAGCTGTAGCAGAAAGGCAATTAAATTGTGTCCAGACGACTTTTTCTTCTTGACTCGCTCATTTTGACTCATATTGTATCACTTTGTTTCTGATAACTTTGGGGGGGCTGGGTAAACGGTACAGGGTTTACTCGACACTCTCAGCCACGTCGCTGCTGCAGCTTGCCCTGCTGTGCGTCTCACTCGCTCTTCGGTCTCTTCTCCTCTCATTACTTTATGCGTACCGTAGTCTGTTAAGATAATTGAGACGATGGCGTGTGTGTGTATTTTTATGTGGCTTGACTCGTTAGCCATTAGCTTGGAGAAACAGATGCCATTGCCAGTGGCATGCGAGCGCATCCCCATGAGGAGGAAATGGTTAGAATCATTCTGAATGTCTGAGTGTTTCGTTCTCTGAGTGAAACATGTTCAGTCGTTCAACCTTTATTTATACAGGTTAATTCCATTGAGCCTCAAGGACTCATTTACAAGAGAGATCTGATTTCAACAAAGAATGATGACAACAATGGACAACAATGACAACAAAAGACAATCATAAAAGAGGCATACAGATTTTTTTTAAACAAAGTAAGATGGCAAAACTAGCTAGATCATAAGGCAAATGTAGAAAAACTAATGTGGTTTATTTGCAGTGAACCAATCACAAGTCGCATTCACTAAGGCGTCATCAACAGTTCCTCCCCGAATGGCTCGGCACACGCCCTGTGTCGTTCAGATTCACGTCACGAGGGAGTCACAGAATGTGCAAGTTCCACTCCTGACATGTCACGCTCGGGCTAAGCTCAACTGTATGTATTACTCCTGAACCCCCCCCCCATCTCTCTGATCTGCTACAACTGTATGTCCCACCACGTTCCCTGAGGTCAGCAGACCAGTTGCTCCTCACATTTCCAGGAACTCGTCTTAAGCGCAGAGGTGACAGGGCCTTCTCTGTAGCAGGACCAAGACTTTGGAACGAGTTACCTCTGCTTGTCAGACTGGCCCCCTCCCTCGCGGTTTTCAAATCCCGTTTAAAAACTCACTACTATTCAGTAGCTTTCAACACTAGAGGATCTGTGTTTTGAACCTGTACGCTCCACAATGGTTAGTCGTCATATTTATTATCTGAATCGTTTTTATGTCTACATTTTTGATTTACTTCATTTAGTATTTTGCTTTGTGTGTTGTCTGTTGTTCTGTCTGTACAGCACTTTGGTTGGCCTTGTAGCTGTTTTAAGTGCTCTATAAATAAAACGGTATGGTATGGTAACTGAAATGAGAAAGGAACAATCAGTTAATAAGGTGATCTGGTTCAGTTCGTTTATTCAAAAGATTCGTTTGAACGATACAACACTATTATACTCAGTGAAGAGAGAATTCAAACGGTGGGGCTTGGCTTGGTTTGTGTAATATAACTAAAATCAGAAACATTTAAAAATGATGCAGAAAAACTGGTTAATGTATTTGTTATGTCTAGACTGGACTATTGCAATGGTTTATTGTCTGGGTGTTCAAATGCTTCTTTAAAAAGTCTTCAGTTAATCCACAATGCTGCAGAGTTTTAATTGGAGTTAGTAGGAGAAATCAGATCTCTTCAGTTTTAGCTTCTCTCCACTGGCTCCCTGTATAATCCAAAATGGAATTCAAAATCTTACTTCTAACCTACAAAGCTCTCAACAACCTAGCTCCATCTTACATTTGAGATCTTATTGGTCCGTATTTTCCCAACAGAGCACTTCGCCCTCAGACTGCAGGCTTACTCGCGGTTCCTAGAGCTTCCAAAAGCAGAATGGGAGGAAGATCTTTCAGTTATCAGGCTCCTCTCTTGTGGAACCAACTTCCAGTTTCTGTCTGTGAGGCTGACACATTGTCCAGTTTTAAGACTGGGCTTAAAGCTTTCCTTTGTAAATCCTATAGTTAGGGTTGGCGCTACCTTAAGCTTAGACTACTGGAGGACAAACAGACCTCATTTCCTTAAATGAATTGCTAAAATTGAACAGTTTGATACTATTTCTATCTTAATGTGATTCTCGACCTGCCATTGTGTATCTGTTCCTACCAAATCCAGCCGGTCGAAGCAGATGACCACTTGTCCTGAACCTGGTTCTGCTAAAGGTTTCTTCCACATGAGGGAGTTTTTCCTTTCCACTGTCGCCTTCATGCTTGCTCAAGATGAGAGTTCTGTGATGAACTTAAACTCAAATCAGTCTGCTCCTCAGATATATAGTGTTAAATTATTATTTTTATTTATGAACTTTTTTGTTCAGTGCCTTGAGACGACTTCTGTTGTGACTTGGCGCTACATAAATAACCTGAATTGACTTGAATGCTTTCAGTGGGGAGGGGACTGTTCTTAATGTGTTCTGTAAGCTCATGAACAAGTTGAAAATTGAAATGAGCACATAGCAAGACGGCCTTCTGACTGAAATATTTGCCATTTCAAAAAAATGTAAAGGTCTCACGGATTTATTGTGATTGTTGTTGTTGTTTGTTGAACTCATCAGTGAGCCGGATTTAAATCGACCCGTGGGCCGCCAGTTGAATAGCCTTAAATACTCTTTTGATACTTTCAGCTAGCCTTTTGTTACTTTTAGCTTGCACTTTTTTAGCTTTAGCTACGCATTTTTTTCCAAGCCTTTTACAAACTTTATATTTCCTTTTGCTAATTTTAGTCTTTAATTAACCCAGATATCCCGTTTTAATACCCTTAGCCTTTTGCTAGCTACTGTTTTGATACTTTTAGCTCGTTTTTTTACTACTTTTATGTAACCTTTTGCCAGTTTTGTCTTTGATCTATTTGCTACTTTTAGCCTTTAGCCAGTGTTTAAAACTTTTTAGCTAGTTATTTGTTTCTTTTAGTTTTAACAGCTCAGTTCGAGTCATTCATTCATCAGGCTATATTGTAGCACAAAATGAAAATGTAATTTCTCTGGTTATTATTTCAAAGCCCGACAATTTATTCACATAATGTGATCTCGCCGGAAGCAAAATAATTTAAAGTTTGTGAGGCAAAGAAATAAAAATAAAAAAAACTTCTGATATAACGGTTTTTTTTTTTTTTTTTAAGTCACAGTCTACATGTTTGTAGTTTACAGATGAAGGATACCTTGCGCAGCTGGTGGTTGTGTTCAATGTTAACATAAAAAAAGTTTATTAGATGTGACGCCATGTTTGTTCGATTTATATAAAATAATCTGTCCCCTAGGTGTGTGAATGTGCGCACCTCATCGTAATATGTTGTTAACATATAAATAAAAACCAACTCAACTGTGGAAAAAATACTGTTTTTCAAAAAAGATACTCGATAAACTGAAATGAAACTGTGGAGCTCCGTTTTTCGAGGTTAAATGAACGCACCACCATCTATTCAGGATCATTTAGAAGAGAAAGAAGTGAACCTCCCCCTGCTCGAAGGTCCTGCAGAAAACTGAGCTCCCTCTCATTCCTCAGCAGTTTGAAAACTTCTCCTCGAGTGGAAGAGAAAAACTTCTCTCACCAACTTTTATCATCTTTCTGCAAAACCGCGTCTTAATTTCGGCACAGCAACAAAACGGGTGGGAGCAGCAGAGGATCATTTTACAAAAACCAGTCCGTCCCATTCAAAAGGCATCTCTGCTAAAATTGCGCAAGAGAAGGTGATATCGATATCAAGGCTCGAGTGGAACAGCACTGATTTGGATTTGTGAAAGAAGGAGGAAGATGTCCAAACCTAATTACTCCGGGACGTTTCATATGGTGGAGCAGGACAACATGGACGAATACCTTGCAGCTTTAGGTGGGAATCCAAATACTTTTACACAAATCAATATAATAATAATCAATACAAACCTCATCCATGACAGTTGTGCATCTTTACGTATAATGAGCTTTTTCTGAGAGATTTTGTGCTGTGAGATAATCTATTAATTTAAAAGGCAGATTTATTCATTCCCAGCAGCACATTAGTGGGATGAAATCATCTTGTCCTCTGTGTGACCCCCCCACCCCCAAGATCCCCCCAACCATTCAATCTAATGTTCAGTGCGCCAAAGATCCTCTTCAGTTAAAACTACACAAACTTATAAATAAAAAAATATATATTTTTTTGTCTGAATCATCTTCCAGATATTAATTTTGCCTTGAGGAAGATCGTGTGCCTGCTGAAACCCACCAAAGAGATCACCCACGATCCGGCCACAGGGGCCATGAAAATCCGCACCCTCACCACCTTCAAGAACTTCATCATGGACTTCATCATCGGAGAGGAGTTCACTGAAGACCTGGGGCCTGTGGACGGCCGTACCTGTCAGGTAAACCTGTCAGGACACGTGCATCAAGTCAAAATAACTTCACATGATGTTGAGTTTTCTTTTGTGTGTGTAAATCCTGAAAGACCATTCAGCCCCCCCCCCCCCCCCCCCCCCCCCCTGCTGTGACCTGTGTGGTAACAAGTCTTTCATCTGTTTAAAGCTTTGTGAGGAGAGCAGAAAGAAAATGAATGAAATGCTTTCACTCGTCTCCAGACACTCATCATGAGGGCCTTTGTTTCTGTTTGCAGACCACGGTGAGCTGGGAAGGAGACACACTGGTGTGTGTGCAGCGAGGAGAGAAAGAGGGACGGGGCTGGACTCACTGGCTGGAAGGAGACAAGCTGCATTTGGTGAGGACGCAGGAGACAGAAGGAGGTCAAAGCAGGAGGGAGGGAGACAGAACAAGGAAAAATGATGCTGTGATTGAGATGCTGAAAGAGAGTAGAGACATGCTCGTGCTGTTAAAGGTTCAAATCAACCAAAGAGGCCGGAAGAATCTTCATCACATGCTTGTGTAACTTTTAAAAGCTCATTGTTCTGCTAATACCCTTCACGCCGAAGGAACAAAACAACCTGTTGTTGATGCTAAACTCCGAGCGTGAGTTGAGACAGAAATGCCAGCGAGGATCAGGATTTGGAGGTGAGACTGGTGAGGAGGTGCTGAGAGGGGGGAGCTGCAGAGATGAGTGGACGGAGAAAGAGACGGTTTACGAGGTGAAAGGATGAGGAGAGAAAAGGGGAAAAAGTTTTAGTTTAGTTTAGTTTTTTTAATGTGCAAAACTTGTTCATTTTAACGCCCTTCCTGTTTCCTTTTTTCTCCCATTTCTTCTCTGCAGGAGATGAGAGTGGAAGGAATCGTTGCCAAACAAGTCTTCAAAAAGGCCAAGTGAAGTCGCTCCTCGTTCGAAAAGCAGTCGGTACGAGAACGGAATTGTGTTTGTAGCATTTTTATTATAATCTGTGACGTGCTGAAAGGTCGTAATGACACTAAGAGACTGTTCTGACCGCGGTGTTTGACCGTAACGGAGAGTAGCAGAATGAAGACCACTTTGTAAACATTCACAAGTTTTTTCTTCATATTGCACTGTCTTCACAACGTTAGAAACACATCAGTCATGTTCTGCCTCCATTAAACTGAACGGTGTCTGCAACGTGTTACTGCGTGTCTATACATTTGTACACGGCTATAAATACTGAAATTCATATTGTATGAAAATGTGCACAAAAGAGCTTTTTATGCTTACAGTGGTTTACATGTACTGTTCAGAGCACAATCACTGTCTAAAGTATAACAGTACAAGTTAAATTAGACATATCTTAAGATAATACAGTTGTTTAGACACAGTGTAAAACGCAATAAAAACAATCCTGTGCTCTAAATTCAGTAAAAATAGAAAAGTGGTTAAAGCCATACACCAAATGTTTGAACTGAGAAATCTTAATCCTGTTTCAAAATTAGGAAATTATTTTTAAAAAGCGAAAGAAATACAAAGTACAATGAACGGTGCTAAAAGTGATAAGGTCAATTGTTACCTTGTGATAAATATAAAAAAAAATCCATAAATATGATTAAATGAACTCAGTAAAAGGTTTGGAAACTACTTAGAAGTCAATATACAGTTACTGTAAGTCATTTCACAGTAAAATCCCTTCTTACAAAATAAAAGACACTTGCAGAGACATTTTGCCTCCTTGTGTCTTAAAGTTAAGAAAATCTGTAACAACGTGATAAGAGGGCAAAGCTGCTCAAATCAGATCATAACGACGGTCATCTTGTTCATCATTTGACACGCTTACTTTACGTACTTTTCTAATAATTATGAAAAATAGGATTCATGGATAAGATACTGGCAGGCCGTCTGAGATGCCCCCATCATGTGTAACAAATGTATTATCTGAGTATCTTACTGATGAGTCTTATTTTTCATATTAATATTCAACATATTTACAAATCAATAAAATCTCTTTATTTACAGTTTACACAGTAAAATTAGTGATAGAAAGAGCTTAGGTATTCTTTCAGTTACCTTCGGATAAAATAGAAAACATTTAGCTGATGTTTTATCAAAGTCCTGCAGGTGGCAGCAAACATCTTAAATTTTCCTGAGCCGAGCAGTAAATCCTTGGTTTGTTTAGCTGCAGTTGAGAGCTTGTGAAGAAACACTGCAGTATTCCCAAGGCAACGATGGCTCCTGGGTTATACTGCTCCAGGCGTTAGCCCATCCCGCACCACTCGTCCTCCTGTGGCTCTGAGTAGGACCTGCAGATGTTGGTCGTGCTGTAATTCGTGTAGCCGTTGGTGTGACTGCACTCAACGAAAGAAACGGAGGCCTTCAGCGGAGTTATGGGAAACCTTGTGTCCAGGCTGTCTCCTGTGCTGCAGTCCGTCTGAGGATCGTCTGAGAAGAAGGAGAAAAATACTGAGCGTGACCAAAAACAAGCTCTGCTCCTCGTAAACTTTGATTCATGTCAGCCTTAATGGGACTAAAAACTCCCGGTGGATGTGGATGGGAAGAATAATTACAATTTTCACTAGCAAAACAGTAAAAGAAACATTAAATGTTAACTTTATCATGCCATTATTCAGGTTATTGCTTTAATTTGTGCTTATTTAAAATGTATTCTCCATGACCCAGTGACCCGATAAGGAAGAAGTGGGTAAAGATAACTGATGAAATTATAGCAGATAAAGACCAAGAATATACACTTTTGTTAGCTTAATGTTGTAGTTCCCAACTGTGGTCCTTGAGGAACACCGTCCTGCATGTTTTACTTGTTTCCCTGCTTTGATGCACCCCCAATGGGTGATTAATCAGCTTTTTCAATCACTGAATCAGGCATGTTGGAACGGAGAAACAACTGAAACATTCAGGATGGTGTTCCTCAGGGGCCAGTGTTGGGAACCACTGAGTTTAATTGATTCTGATTCAATTTATGATCATGAATGGATTGATTTTATGATAAACAATTTAGTAAACTATAAACAGCAAATGAATAGATACATTTACAAACAAGCTATCAGATAAGTGAGTGAATAAATGTGTGAATTCAGTAACGAAACAAATACGTAAACGCTGGTGATTCAAGACAGTTTCCTCAAATGTCTCTAAGTTTGTTTTGTTCTTTTCATCTTTCTGGTTAAACCAAATGGAGAGCAACTATGGAGACTGTGCAGGGTTTGGTTTATTTCAGACATTTGTTCAAATTAATTACCACAAAACATTTTGAATCATAAAGTTGAACCTCTGACCAAGCAGTTATTCCCCCCCCCCCCCCCCCCCCGCAGTATTATGTTACCCTGCGGGAGCCTCAGAGGCTGAAGATAAACACAAAGCTGCCTTTGTACAGACATCCAGTTTGTGAGTGAACAGAAAAGACCTGTTGTCAGCAGGGATCAAACGCCTGATACATCTATTAGAGCGAGGCTAAAAATGAAATGTTCTCGCACGCAAGACTGTGCTTTTGCTTTGCCAGGAACATATCCTTGAGCAGATATTGAAAGATTAAAATATAAAGCTTTGTTTTTTTTGTTACCTGAATTAAAAAGTCGTAATTTACAGTCATTGTGGATGCAGGTCTCCTGACAGTGAGACGTCAGCTCTGGAGGAGAGACAGCCGGTGCAGGATCGGTCTCCACGTGAGTCACAGGAACCCCGAGGCTGGCTGTCACACAGAATATTAATATTAATAATAAACTTTATTTATATAGCACCTTCCAACAATGCCTTGCATGGACCACAGTGCTTTACAAGATAAAACTAATAAAAAACAGCAGAATAAATCAGTGGAAATTAAAAACACAGACACAATAAAAGGAGGTAAAGGAGATAAAAATACTAAAAGCTAAACATCAAAAGCCCTTTTAAATAAATAGGTTTTCAATTTGGTATCAGATGGCACGCATCTCATAGGAAGAGTAGTCCAGGCTGTTGGGCCTGCCACAGAAAAGGACTGAAAGGAAAGGACAGAAAACACTCAAACTTCATCCGTGTTGTTGTTAAACGGCTAACTGCACGCTCTGACCCGTAGGTGGCCCTGGAGACCTTCACCCTGCTCTGTTAGTCTCACTACATTTATAAACCTGCTCCTGCAGCCGGAACAGTGACTCAAACAGGACGACACGTCAAAAAGTGCCAAAGTGATACGTAAATGTAAGAACTCCAGTGTTGCAGCTGAAACAGAAACTCTCCGGTTGAATATTCACACTGTTTTGGTTCCACAGACGAACATAATAATCTTTTTTTAATGTCTGGTATTAGATTGACTATTTTAAAAGTCAGAGATGTCACCCTTTAAACGCACAGCGCACCAAAACAAAACGCCTCAGACTTATTGGACAGGAAATGAAAACGCTCTGCATCTCTGCTCACGTTGACTAAAAACTGATCTGATAAAGAAATTTCAAGCTGCTTTATGATTGTGTTTATAAATTATTATTTCACTCTGAGTTTTGCTGGAATTGATCCAACATTTAGGTCATTGTGAGGTTTTTTTGTTCTTGTTGTTGCTCTGTAAAATGTGTTTTTAATGATTACTGGAAGTTCATCTCTAACTTTCTGTTTCTGAGGTTAACAGGGGTTTGCATCCTGTGGTGAACCCCCCACCTGAGATTACTGGCATGAGCCCGTCTGTCTAGAAGGAGACATGTTTGTGTACGTGCTGTGCTGTGTTCCTACTTTATGCACAAATCTTTCATGAAATGCAAATTATTTTGCGTTTACACAACTTCTGCTTTCCTTTTAGAATAAACCAGACGGCTAATTTTCATAAATAAACCATTGCTGATAAATAGATTTGGGCCTCACTTGTGTGTTTATACTGTCAAATATCTCCATCTTAAAAGTCAGTCTAGACCAGGGGTTCTCAAACTTTTGGGTTCAGGGACCCCTCCCTCATAACCCTCGTGTTTATTAAATAATTTTCTTCAATTTGTCTCTTTAATTCAGTGGAAATATTTGTGTAACATACATGTAAATACTTAAGATCTGTTCTTTAATAGTGTTAATACAATTTTTATGCTTTTAAACTTGGAGTATTTTTCATTCAAGACACACTTAATTGACACAAATTTTTAATTTCAACTTCCAAAAATTACAGTTTTGAAAAAAAAAAACAATATCAAAAACCACTTTAAAACTTTACCCATTCACATAATGAACATAAACGTATTGACACTTCTTCAAATTATTACAGAAACTACTTTACATAAAACTGAACAGAATCATAAAAGCAGCAGTCATACCAAGTAACAGGAATTAATTTGTAAACTGATCGATGCAGGAACGCAAATAACGGGTGGGCCGGCGGGGTGGGGGTGGTCTGGGGGTCCTCCCACAGAAAAATTTGAATAAAGTGGACGTGATTTCCTGCATTTTGGTGTATTTGAATGGGTTGTTAAACATCTACGTGCTTGTAAAAAAAAATATATATATATATATATAAATATATATTATAATAAATAAATATATATATTTTTGTGTGTGTTTGTCTGTTTTTGTATATATATATATTTATATATTTATATATATTTATTTTGAATTGCGGACTCCCAAGCACCGTCTTGCAGACCTCCGGGGGTCCAGGGACCCCAGTTTGAGAACCACTGATTTAGACTACTATTCAGCTCTGAGCTCCATTAATCTTAATCTGTTTAAACAGAACTTTTCTATTACCAGTAAAAAAAAAAAACAACATTTTCTATTGTTGGAAAGACAACTTTGATCGTTTAGCTTTGGGCACAGTGTGGTCATCTTTCATGTTTTCTCTCCCTCTGACATTAAACCACTACGAGGTGAGGTGTTTTCTATTGTTTGAGCTGAAACACATCCTGAGACATTTTTAACTTTCCTGTTGAACAGCGTCTGGACTGTGTTTTCCATCAGATTAATGGGTGTGTTTCTGAACTGAGCTGTGGCGTGTAGAAAAAAGGTCACGTCGTCTCATTGTGACTCAACTTTAAACTGATACTACATTTATGGAGATGTTTTCAAACCTTTTGGTTAAACTGAATAATGGCTGAAAGTATGTGAGGTTTCCTTTGATTTAAAAAGCTGTAGTTACAACTGAGTCAAAGCAGAGAAACACGGTTACTCTCGTCTCACAAATGTAGGGCGGAAAAGTGAACACACCAATATGAAGCCATCCATTTTGGTAGGTTGTGTTTAAACTTTGTGTGCTAAAAAATAAGGTAATTGTTTTTAATCTACAGTCTGGTAAAGTCATTTTTACACACTGTAATGTAGTTTTGAAATCTGCTGCTGCCGTCATGAAACCGTTTACAGAAAGACGAGGAGGAAAAATCAAACCATCCTGTCTGTTTTGTGTTCATCTGCTGTTTTCCATACGCAGCATGGAATGATGAAGACTATATTTAGATTAAGTCCTGACCCTGTCTTGTAAAGATGACGCCTCTCAGATATTCCAGACCAAAAACAAAAATTATGTTAATAATAAATCTGTGAGATTTATGGATTTTCTTTGTTTAGCAGAAAAATGCTTTAAATGAAAAAAATTGTGCAGATGTGGTTCTGCTTTTAGTGGCACGGTGGCTCAGTTGGTAGAGCTGTTGCCTCTCGGTGAGAAGGTCGCTGGATCAAATCCCAGCCTTGGACATTTCTGGGTGGAGTTTGCATGTTTTCTCTGTGCATGCGTGGATTTTTTCCGGTTATTCCAGTTTCCTCCCACACACTAAAAACATGTTAGGATGATTAGTAACTAAATTGTCTCTAGGTGTGAGTGAGAGAGTGAATGTGTTTGTCTCTATAAGTGTCTCTGTGAGGGACTGTCCAGGGTGTCCCCCGTCTCTCACAGCGACTGCTGGAATTGGGCACCAGTGACCCGAAAAAGAAGAAGCAGGTAAAGATGATGGAAGAATGGATGATTCTGCTTCTTGTTTTTTATTTTATTTTATTTTTTTCAAGGAACACAAAATGTTCTCTGATTAGTTTTTGGTGTAAAAAAAAATTATCCATATATTTTTTAAAATTTAATATTAAAAGATAAAACAGAAACTAACACACTAAAGCAAAAAGGAAACGTTGTATGTCTGTTTAAATAATCTGTATGTTATTAATATTTCCGGATTACTTTTTATTATGAAGGCCAGGTAACAACTGTAGGAACCCTATAGTGTGTGAGCAGGTATAGGACCAGCATGCACTGGGGCGGGCCTCTGGAGTTTATCAGAGCAGGAGAAGAAGAACAATTGTTTGTTTGCTGCAATAGAATAAACCAACCATCCAGTTTGGGCAAATAGTTTCTTTTTGCCAAACAGCCCTGTTGCATTACTGACCCTTTATTCTTCTTTATAATTTGACTTTAAAAGGAATTGCCACTTGTGTACATGCATATTAGTAAAAATGAAGTGTAAAACAAAGATGTGTTGTGATGAGAACAAGCAGCCTTTACTCTGTGCAGCACTGATTCTCATCAGCAGAAAGAACTCAGATAATAAGATGAAAAAACGCTGTTTTCTGATACCGTTGGTCTACAATACTGAAAACCCGATTGATGCTTGTTTCTAATGAAATGTTCACATGTGGTTCATCTGCCGATTCACGCAGACTCTGTGGAAAATCATCAAATGCCATGTGAAGTACAGCGTCAGTCAAAATAATGTGTACCAGCACTGTGCCACATACATCAGGCCGAGGTGCCGGTATGAGTGTGAGTCACTTTCTACCAAACAACTGTGTCAAGATGAAACTGTACAGGATGTGGTTTCGTCATTCAGTTTGTCATCTTTGCTGAAGCATTCTTATTTAACCCGTCTGCATTTAACTTATGTTTTTGTGCAACAAAACTAACAAAGCCAGATTTTTTCACAGATAACTCACCGGACTATTTCCGTTCTTTTAATGCCAAGACCAACAGATAGATTGAAATTGAATTTGACCGTCATCAAAGTTTCAGTTTTATCAATTCACTGGAATTAAACTGTGGGAGGGAATGTTTGAAAGCGATAATCAGCAGTGACCTTAAACTGTATGACTTCAAAGCGCAAACATCTCATACATGTGGCTAATGACGTGAATAAGTTACTTCTGGCGAGTTTAGATCTGCCGCTTCTTCGTGATCTTTCTTTTTTTTTCAAGTACAAAGTACGAGAAGATCCCCACACACCTGTTCTGCAGGATTTGTGTTTTGCTCTCCAGAAGATGAAAGCAGCCGCAAAAACGATTATGGTCAACACGAGTCCGGCCCACAGGCCTGCAGGGAGCATCCAAGGACAATCTGATGAGGAAACAAACGGATGAGGAACAGGGAACCATCTTAATCAGGTTACACAGGATGAACATGATGTACGATGAGTGGGAGTGGCGCCGCTCTGGTTTTTAACATCACTGAGGTTATGCCTAACTTGCTGACAAAGTCTGATGAATAAAATTATTTCATATTATCACAAACACTTCATAATCCGTTTACATTACACTTTAACATAAATGTTTCCAAATTAAGTACAGTACTGTGCAAAAGTCTTGAGTCTCATCACACATTATGTTTAGGAGTCAAACCTTCTTGTAATCTTTTAAAGTAGCCTCAGTAATGTTGTTTTAGGGCGTCCTGTAAGAAAGTCTGGCTCCTTGAAAGCATCAACTATAAACATTTGGAGACGATTAAGAACTTTTGCACAATACTGCCAACAACTCCTTACATGTAGTCCCCAAAACAAATTAATGAAAAGAAACGATAACTGTTTTTTCAAGCTACAACCCAACCCGGAGAAGAAGAAAGTGTCATAAAGGATACATCACTGGGTGGTACAAACATTTCTTTGTTTCCACAAAGACATAAAAATGACTGAGAGGTCAGACCGTCCCTTTCTGCACGATGTTGGTTGAGACTCCAGCAAATGTTTGAATAAATAAAGCGTAAATTAAGAAGTTAGAGATCAAAACCAAAATGGTAAATATGGCTTGTTTATTTTAGTACAAATAATTATTGTTTTCTTGTTTTTTAAGTATTCAATGAAAGGATAACATAGATATTTAAAAATTACACACTTAAATGAAGTATGATTGCAAATCCTGTAGATCACCCTAAAATTGTAAAGAATGCAAATGACAAATATATCTAGTTGTTTTATTTAGATACAATTACATATGTACATGAGGGGATGCCACAGGGTTCTATATTGGGTCCCCTCTTATTCATCCCTAGAAAGACTGGAAACTAGCAGAGTTAATTATATTAGTCGCTTTCAAATCAAAGTTGAAAGGTCTCTCTTAAACAGGTCTCTCTTGTAAATGAGTCCCCGTGACTCACTGAGAATAACTTGTATAAATAAAGGTTGAATGAATTGTTTAATGTTTACGATTGTGGCTCGTCAGGTGTATTTGTTCTTTTTTTTTTGTGTATTCTAAGGAAAAGTCTTTTGAACTGTAATTTATATAAATGTGTACATTTTGAAATAAAGTTTCAAATGATAAAATATACAGTACATCATCTGCACTGCAGTGAACTTGCAATTATTGCTGTTTCATGGTCTTACATTTCCACAAACCCATCCAAAAGATTTACCTGAAAAGACTTAATGATGGGATGTTAACTTTACCCAAATTAGATAATAACGTGGGTTTAGCTACCGGTAATTAACTATTTGTTGTCTCTGTTCCATGGCAGCTACGCAAACTTGATCTACTTTAAAAATAAAAGTGTTATAACTAACAAAGATTTGGTTATGATCAAACATCTCCTGCCAAGACACAAGTTATCTTAAAAGTTTTTTTTTATTTCCTACATGCTGAAATCTGACGCAGATTCTACCATCAACTTATATTATATTACTGGACCCCATATGGTTTATTTTTTATTATTTTGTTTTTTTGTTTGTTAATTTTTACTTATCATTCTTTACTTTAGAAGTTTTTTTTTTAATTAATCTAAAATTCTTTATATTTCTGTTTTAACTTTGGTCAAACACTGTGGTCAAAGAGGGTTGTTTTTCAAATGTGCTACAGAAAAAGACCTGACTGGTTTAATAAAAGAAGGGTCATGTGACACCATGATTGTGTGCTTGGCATTCTCAGTGGGAAGATTCTGGTTTCAAAAATACTATGTGTTATAAACTGGGTTCTGATGGCTTCAATTCCCAAAAAGAAAAGATGAAGATATTTGGTTCAGTTTTACAAAACATGTTAAAGGACAAAATGTGTCAGATTCTTTTTATTTATATACGTTACTAGAACCGCCTTCTTCCACCTGCATAATATCACTAAAATTAGAAACCTCTTATCTAAAAATGATGCAGAAAAACTGGTTCATGCACTTGTCTCATCTAGACTGGACTATTGCAATGGTTTATTATCTGGGTGTCCAAATACTTCTTTAAAAAGTCTTCAGTTTATTCAAAATGCTGCTGCCAGAGTCTTAACTGGAGTTAGTGGGAGAGATCACATCTCTCCAGTTTTAGCTTCTCTCCATTGGCTCCCTGTCAAATTCTGAATTTAATTCAAAATATTACTTCTCACATACAAAACCCTCAACAACCTAGCTCCATCTTATATTAGATATCTTATATTGTTCCGTATTCTCCTAATGGAGCACTTCACTCTCAGACTGCAGGTTTACTTGTGGTTCCTAGAGTTTCCAAAAGCAGAATGGGAGGAAGATCATTCAGTTATCAGGCTCCTCTCTTGTGGAACCAACTTCCAGTTTCTGTCCGTGAGGCTGACACATTGTCCAGTTTTAAGACTGGGCTTAAGACTTTCCTTCTTGATAAATCCTATAGTTAGTGTTGGCTTGTTGTGCTGCCATAGTCTTAGACTAGTGGAGGGCAAACTGACCTCATTTTCTTAAATGAATTGTAAAACTGAATAGTTTTCATTTGATACTATTTCTATCCTAACATCTGATTCTCAACCTGCCATTGTGTATCTGTTCCTCCTTCCTGTCCTCTCAAACCCAGCTGGTTGAAGCAGATGGCCACTTGTCCTGAGCCTGGTTCTGCTAAAGGTTTCTTCCTCAGGGAGTTTTTCCTTTTCACTGTCACCTTCATGCTTGCTCAAGATGAGAGTTCTGCGATGAAGTTCAACTCAAAGCAGTCTGCTCCTCAGATAAATAAAGTTATGAACTTACTTTTGATATATATATGACTGTCTCTGTTTAGTGTCCTGAGATGACTTCTGTTGTGACTTGGCGCTATATAAATAAACTGAATTGAAAACTGGATTAAATTATATCACATCAAGGTTTTCTGGGTCCATTCACAGACCACTCAAACTTCTGCTTGTTTGTCAGGGCTGTGTGTAAATTTTATCATCTACATCAGTATGTGAGGGAGCTACAGACCATGTGCAGTACAGCATTTTGTGACTATTCAAACAAAGAAAGTGTGCCTACGACAATAAAACTCCCATTCAAAATGTGGCACTAAAGACACAACAATAAAGACTGAGTCCAACCACACGCAGGGGAGGGAAATAACAAAAATATGTTAAATCTGAAACCAGTCTTTCTTTCTCTCATGAAGACAGTTAACAAACCAGCGCATTAACGCCATCTAAAACTGTAGGTCTAGTGCATGAAACACTATCAGATGATAGAAATATAGTATGAATTCAAGCATGTGCAGTCAGTTACTGTGCACATGCAGACAAAATATTTTCAAGCCAAGCCTAAGACGCCTATTTTACCACGTTAAAGCCTTTGTGCTACTCACAGGTTTAGCTCAGGGTTAACGGTTCCTCCATTTGCTCACTGAATAGATGCAGTGACAACAAACCACATCTGATGTAAAAACTTTTTTCACATTATGACAATTTTTTTTCTTCATATTTTAGCTCTTATCTTTAATATCTAGAGGTGATTTCCTGCTATCCTGCCTATCACATCATTATAATCCATGATTTCCTGTAAGCAACACACAAACTGCAACTGCTGCACAAAATGGTTTTCCATCTGTGTCACTTCCACTTCCTCTCTTCATTTAAGGTCAACCAGATCTTTGAAAGTCACGGTGTAGAAGCATCTGCTAACATGAGCTTGATTCAAAAGCAGACAGTGTTTTCACAAGAAAAATAAAACAAAAGAAGAAACACTTGCACAGTATTTAAACTAAAGCTCAAATCAAGAACCTACATGTATTGAAGTTCCCACAGACAGAATCAGTTGTTCGGGTTCCTGGAGTTTTCAGCTCTCTTCCAAAGTTTTCACATCTGACAGCGACATATGAGATAGAAAAAAGTAACCGTTACTACATTATTACCACCACGTGGGTTTAATATAGTTACAGAAGAAAGATGTGGGATGTTGGATGTTAGCATTTGTGTCCAAGGAGATCAAACAAAACCAAGAGAGTCATTTTGCTACGTTGCTTAATCCACTCGAGTACAAACAGCACACGAGCCTCCAACTTGAATCATCTGAGTAATAAAAGTGGCCCGGTCTTGCCTGGTATGTGGAAAACATTGTGAGGAGAAATCTGTGAAGTTGCTGTAGGTCCCGTCTTCACACGGAGAACACTTTAGGTCACTTGTTCGACTGGCTGCAAGATGGAATCAAATGTAAAGAAAGTTTAGTCATTTTGTGAACCATAGGTGAATTTTTACAGGACAGCGGGAGGATTTATGTTAAACCTTAAACGTTAAGCCCACCTTTAATTGTAACTCCTTCACCCAGGGGGCAGCGAGTCAGGGGCTGGCAGTGGTCACAGTTTTCATTGCTACAGTAGAAACCTGACTCACACCCACAGATTGTGTCCTCTTTAGCTGTACAGTAAGTTACAGTCCTCCCGTTAGCTGTGAGGGTTGAAAAGACATTTTGGTTAGTTAATTTGTCTTGTTAAGTTATGTGAGTCTGTGTGTGTGGGTGGTTAGGTTTCAGCTGAAACTGTCTGCCCTCCACTTGAGGTTAAACAACACAACCAAAACTCCTCAACACCTTCCTCCTTTTATTTCCCCACTGTAAACCGTCTGAAATTAAAACTAGAGAAATTGCATTTCCTGTGAAAATGCAGTGTAAATGCTTATTGCTGAAGAACTTGCTGAAAACTGCTGAAATTAACTAAAAACATACTGAAATGCAGGTGAAATTGAAGAACAAGCCTAAGTTAGCAGAAGAAAGCAGAAAGAACTTATATTGCTAAATTAAATTTAAATAAGCAGATATTATAACAAAAATTGGGAATTTAGCTAAAAAATAAGCTGAAATTAGCAAAAAATAGCTGAAAAGTAGCTGAAAAGGCAGAAAGAAGCTTAAATTACCAGGAGGAAGTGGAAGAAGCTGAAATGAGCTAAAAAAAGAAGTTGCTATTAGTTGAAAAATCTAAATTTAGCTCAAAAGAGCTATAAAATAGCTTAACTTGTAGAAAAAGCTGAAACTAGCAGAAGAAAGCTAAAATGAACTGAAATTAGCAGAAAAAAGTTAATTATGCCGAAAGTAGCAGAAATGACCAAAAATAACTTGAGTTTATCTGAAAATAGCTGAAAAATGCTAAAATGGTCAAATGAAATAAAAAATAGTAGCTGAAAAGGTTAAATTAGCAGAAGAACGCAGAAAGAACACTTTACCCAATTAGATTGAAAGAAGAAGAAATGTGCACTAAAAAGTGGACATTATCTAAAAACGATGAAATTAGCAAAAAACAGTGGCTAAAACTTTCTAAAAGAAGCTTAAATGACCAGAAGGATGTGGATAGAGCACATTTTTGCTGAATTAGGCTGAGAAAAGTTGAAATGAGTGCAAAAAATATGGAATTAGCCAAAAAAGCTAAAATTAGCATAAAAAACTGCTAAATAATAGCTGAAATAACAGAAAAAGCTGAAACTTGCAGAAAGAAGTTGAAAGGAGCGTAACAAGTTAAAATCAGCAGAAATAAGTTAGAAGAAGCCCCAATATGTTGTAATTAGCAGAAAGAGTTGAAAAAAAAAAAAGAAATTGGCTGAAAGTAGCTGAAAAAAGGTTTAAATGTGCACAATGAAGCTGAAAGAAGCTGAACCAGAATAAAATGTGAAAGGTGCAGTACAAAGTTGTAAACAGATGTCAAGGATGTAAAATGAGCTCAGTCCATTTTTTATAAGAAAAAAAGTGGCAGAAAAGGCTAAATGTGTCAAAACGCTAAAGTTGAATCAATACCAAAAGTCATAGCACCTTTCTTCTGAACAAGCTGAATGTTTTGATATAGGATTTGTTGAAATAGCACAAAAAAATGTGGAACGAGAACGATGCCAAAAAACGTACAGAAGAAAAATGGATCACAGCAGTGTGGCTGCTTCATAAACATTCACACAATAACTACAGGATGCCAGTTTGAATAAGAAAACATTTTTGAGATATGTGAATATAAAACTGATCACAACTCAAGGTACTTTAAAACTGGATAAAATAAGAAAGGAAAGATGTGTTGGGGAAAAAAATGTATGTGACATGTTAACATAAAAACTCTGTAAAACATCCATCAGTACTTTATAAAAAAGAAGTGTGGAAGGAGGAGAACAGTGTGTATTTTGTTTGTGCATGTGTTTGCCTTACTGTGGTTACACTTCTTGCAGGGAAGACACTTCGTCAGGAAGTTTTCCGTAGCTGTGTGAGACCCATGTTGACAGTCACCACACTTTGTCTTCTGTGTGCTATTGCAGGGAGTTTGTACATACTGCCCTGAGACAGGATAAAAAGAAAATCCACGGTGAACAAAAGCATTAGTCAGGTAATGTAAAACAAAACTTAGCTGAAGATTATGATGTTTATAGAGTCCTCAAAAATAAGTTAAAGAGGAAAAAGGTGAAAGAAACTTTATGACGTTTACTAACCTGCAGGACAGCGGTCACAACATCGCCCATCTTTGTGGTCCAAAAGCGTTGAACAATTCATAGTTGTCATTTGAAGCCCATTCAGTTACAGTCCTCCCTTTGTGTGTAAAAAGCTGAGCCTTTGGGGTGTTTTTTATATTCTTCTGTTAAACTCGCTCATGTAACAGCTCTCCCTCACGTCTGAAGGTACTAGTTCTTCTGAAACCCTCTCACTCGTTCCTCCTGCTCTTCTGTGTTCGCTCTCGGTGTGATGTTTGATCTGGTTGTGACAGATTTCTTTCCTTCACTCTTACCTACTGCTCATGTCTTTTCTGATCCTACACAGTGGAAAGCCCCATTGCCCCTCATCTGCAGTTTTCCCCTCCGTCTCTCTGTCTCTCCCCTCATTTCCTTCCTGTCCTGGCCCTTTCTCTCTCTCTCTCTCCCTCTCTGCGAGGTAAGCTGTGTGTTTCCGCAGTTACAAAATCAAAAGACTCAAGCAAAGTCATACAATAAAAGACATTTCCTCTCTCAGCTGCACCCTATATTTTCTCAACTCTATTGTTCTGAATGAACTCTTGCTCCAACTTGTACAAGAATGCTGCACAACTAGAAAATGTTTTTGCTCAGCTTCATATCACCCCATTTACCCACAGTGACCTGCTTCTGCAATCATATAAACAGTGGTCTACAAATAGATTTATAAATGCTTACAGACGCAAATCATGACAGAAAGGAAGAGGGCAGCAGAAGGAGGGTGAGAATTGGAAAAAAAAACATGCGAAAAGGGGAAGGAGAAAACATTAAGTTTATTTGAGGAGAGATTTGATCGGATAACGATGTTGAGATTAAGGTGGGATTACATTTTTCAATTTCATAGAATAACACCATATCTACAGCATTATAACAGGGACAGAGTTCATGATCATAATCTGCACTTTGAATCTACAGTTTTGTTTTATGTAGTTTTTTTTCTGTTAAATATGTACAAAATAAAAAAAATTGCTATGTTAAACCAGATTATAATTTTTACATACTGATTTGGACCTCTTCGCAGCAGGAACTACTTCAATGCATTCAGGATTAAAGTCATGAGGGTTTTAGATTGGGGGTGTTATTCATTCATCTATTCCTTCAGTAATACCTGATATCAGCTCTAGAGATGATACAGATGACTCTTAACTTGCTGATAAAAACCATTATGTGACCTGTGATGACTGTGGAAGCCAATCCCAGCGTCCAGGATCACTTGCTGAGCAAGCTGTTCTACTTATTATTGGGATGGGATGGGATTATTGAGCATGCATCAGGATAAGCTGTTCTACTAATTTTCCTGTAGAAATCTGCATGTATTGTATCTAAAACAGACAACAGTATTGGGCAAGAGGATAAATACTCTTTAGAAGTCAACAGGTTGTGCAACCCTTTACTCAGGCAACCATGACTAAATAATAATTTGGAAATGTATCACAAATGAGTCATGCGAAAAGTTGACTGTTGCCTACTGGATCATTGTCTACTTAAACATCAACATAACCAAAAGTTGATGTGGAAAAAAGTTTGACACAGGCAGCTTTTCCACGACTTTCAGATTTCTTGACGTCTCAACGGACCTTTTGAACTGATATTGAGTTGATAAGATGTTGCTGTAGCCACGCAGTCCCTCCAGCAGTTTGTTCTTAAAAATTCTTTACTAAAATGTGTTTAAAACATCTTCTGTAGCCAATCGTTGTTTTTGGTACGTCCGCATGATATTAAAAACAGTTCCTCTTAAACAGTTTAACAGCGCAGCTTCGTCACAGTTTTTGTTGCAACACATCGTAGTTAACTAATTTCTCTTGTTGGGCAAGAAGAAAGTGCACAGATTCTGATACCGATCCAGAGAAAGGTTAAAAAAAAAAAAAACAGAAACGTAGGTTATTCCATTATGTAAAAATACCACCCCCAATTTTTAAAATAAAATATAGAACTGCATTGTCTCTATTTAACGTAATTACATTTATTCATACAACTAGGACTCTTATGACCAAATGGTAACAAATGAGCCTTTTCTTTTTTCTGTCCAGAATGTGTTTCTTTATATTTTTTCTTGTTATAATTTTCTTTTTCCAACGCTTTCCTTTAGTCTCCTACTTCTCTTGCTACCCTGCTCGACATATTCATTGCTACTGGGATGGGTGGAGTCTCCAGGGTATCCCATGGGTTACTTACCTCATGCCAGTGTAAACTGGAGTAGATGCGCTCCCAGAGGACACACCCTGTCCATCAGGCTTATCCACCTGGACCTGGAGGAAAGCCAAGACTGTGAAAATGATGCAGTAAAGGTCAGGTTTAGTTACTAACTTGTTCTTTGTCAAGCCAAGGTGATTACCTACTGTGTCATCTGCTTCATTAAGTCTTTTTTAATTATTATTTAAAATCAGGTGTTTTCAGATGAAAGCCCAATAGCTGTTCTGTGTGGCAAAAAGGAATACAGGGAGCTTCAGGAAACAGTGAATCCATCGCTCATCTCCTCCCCGGGTGGCTGCCTCACCCTTTTGTTTCACTCTGACTATTCAAACACGAAGAGACACACCGGCTTCAGAGGGCTTTATACTGTTCAAGGTGAGAGGCTAACAAGTAGATAAAAAATGTACAAGTCTAATTTTATGAATCCTACCAATGTCCGTTGTATTTTTTCTTCAGGAGAGTTCAGCTTGTTGTAGACAACCCTTTGCATTAAAGGGAGGTTGTATTTTTTAGACAACATTCACAATGTCTGTAGTCAGTAGCTGCTAAAGCTAAAGCTGAGATGGAAGCAGTCTCATTATTATTCATGTGACAAAGCTAGGGGGCTGGGATTTCCTTGTTTATGGTGAAAATGAATTGCCAAAATTGAAAAAAGTCCGAAGAGGCAGCAGTGACTGTGGTCTCATCTAAACTAACAGCAGAGAAGTCTTATTGCTTTCCAACAGAATCTGTAAAAACAGCACCAAAGCACACAAAAAAGACTAAAGTTCTGGTTTTCAAAGTATGTTGAGATAGTCAGAAGTTATCAGGGACGTAAAAATGATTTATCCCCCCTCTAAAAGTAACAGCTTTAACCTTTGAATCTTCCACTGACAGTCATGCATCTAACATTTGTCTGGTTTCCTTCGTTAGACTTTGACGAGTGTCGGGAGGACCCAAACAATGAATGCACCCAGTTCTGTCACAACTTCATCGGAGGATACCACTGCTCCTGTAGCCATGGTTACTTCCTAGCTGAGAACAAACACACCTGCACAGGTAAAAATATATTTAGTAGCCAGCTGATGATGCACAGAAAGAAAGATGGGAAGCTGACAGTCCGTGAGACAGAGGACAAATCAAGGAAGGAGAAACAAAACCAAAACATGAAGTGAAATTAGGGAATAGAAGAAGCAGAAGTGATCAGTTCAGAAAAAAAGGATTTTGTCAGTTTTATAAACGTTATTAAAATGATTAGAATAATTACAAATTAGCTCTCGTTTTCAATGCAGTGAGTTGTGCTGAAGACCTGTCAGGGCTGAGCAGAGGTGAAATATCCAGTCCCTTTTGGCCTGAGACATACGCAGAAAACGCCAACTGTCGGTACATCCTGTCTGTGGAGGAGCACCTTCAACTGGAGCTGCACTTCTCTGATGTTTTTGATGTGGAACAAAGCAATGACAGTCAATGCATAGATGCTCTGATCGTAAGTATAAAGTCGGGGCACCCAAACACCTCACACATATGTTGTATTCTTCTAAAACTGTGTCTTTCTACAGCAAAAAATTAAAAAGAGGAAGTTCTGGCAGAAGTGTGGAAAACTTGGATTTGACAATTAGTGACTCATTCAACTACTGGTAGTTTCACAGTTTTCCAAATTAGGATCTGTTTTTTTTTTTCAGTGACGTTATTCTACAAAAAACACAAACTTTGACATCAAACATGAAACACCTTTCCATAGTGATTCAAATTAATTTTAAATATAAATTGCTAAAAGGTTGATGAAACAAATGTTAAACTCTTGGGCAATCCATTTTTATGCTTTAAGTGTGACACATCATTCACATCCATCACATTCTTCTAGGTTACACCCTGAAAGACAAATTTACAATCGATGACGCTGGGGCATAAAAAAAGAAAACGTGCCTCGTACAGACAGGAAAACGAAGCTACGTGCAGCAACAGAGGGACTTTCAGACCGGTTAAAGTGAGAAACCTTTAATGTAAATCTGCTTGTTTCCAACGTATTGTCTGCCACTCAGAGTTGAACGAAAAAGGACTTGAATTTGTGCTAATTTATGTCGAAGCTGACCTACGTTTGATCGGATACACCACTGAATATGTAAGACTTGAAGACTTAAACAGCAACATATTTTAAATGCTCAGGGTAAATCTTGTCCAATAGAAATAATTAAAGAACCAGTCAAAAGCTGGAATATATTTTTTTAATTCTTCCCTTCAACAATTGTCATCATATTTATTTATTTTCTATATAATGAAACACTGAGGACTGTATACTCATGTGAATGAATGTAGTGAACAAGATGTAAGCCTAGAAAGTTCCTTTAGAAACTTTGATGGGGACTGCCACATTGCGGTCATTATTTTGAATTTTTGATTTGACAGTACTGTACGTTCGAGTTCGCTCTCAGCAACAACCAAATTTCAGCTTATCGTGGCAACAAATCAATGAGTTATAGTCATTTTTTATTTTAAGCTATGGTAGCCATCTTAGATTTTTGATTTGCCGTCAGAGTCTATTAGGGATCGTTCTCAACTACCAATACACCAAATTTCTGATAAATAGCTCAAAAATCCTCTGAGTTATATCCATTAGAATTAGCTTTGGTGGCCATCTTGAATTTTTAGATTTGAATTCAGAATGTGTTGAGCATCGCTGTCAGGTACCAACACGTGATTTCAGTTCAATATCGTTTAAAATATCCTGATGCACGCTCAATAATCCAGGTAGAAAAACCTAAAAAAGTTAAATCTGGTCCTCTGGACATTCAAAAAATAAAACAAAAAAACCCCAAAACAAAACAAAAAAACTGTAGAAACGTTTCGTCTTTCATCCGAAAGACTTCTTCAGTCAGACTGAAGAAGTCTTTCGGATGAAAGACGAAATGTTTCTACAGTTTTTTTTTTTTTTTTTGAATGTCCAGAGGACCAGATTTAACTTTTTTAGATCTTTTAAAACAGTTCAGTTATCATATTTTTTCCCTTTTAGCTAAGGCGGCCATCTTGGATTTTAAATTTGCATTAGGAATATATAACAACTCGTTCTCAGCTACGACCATAACACATTTCAGCTCAATATCTCAAAGAATTAGTCATTCTGAGTCAGTTTTGAGTTTTCTGAGGTAGCTGTGGCAGCCACCTTGAACCAAAATGGCTCCAAAAGTTAATCAGTGTTTTGTTCCGAGACCTCTCCCCTCTGCGTCATGTGACCTCATTGTCGCAGTTAGAAGCTGTTAAGAGTTCTGTCAGTGTTTTTCAATGAGAAAAGTTGTGCATTTGTTTGCAAATTACATTGCCATGGTAGCACGAAACATCAATAAAAGTAATTGCACACATCACAGTGCAGAACCGGTCGTTTTGGTATAATATTTGTGGGGGTAGACATTGCAGTTTACTGCATTACCAGGCGGCTGTGGCTGAGTGGTTAAAGCAGTCATCCTCCAATGCAAGAGTTGGGGGTTCAAATCCACCAGCAGTCACATACTTAAGTATCCCTGGGCAAGACACTGAACCCCTCATTGCCTCTGATGTGTGTCCCATTGGTGTATGAATGTGATCTAAAGCTCAGATTAGTCTCTTTAGAATGATTTGTTCAATTAGCTTTGTATAGATCTAGTAGAGTGCTGTATGAACGGGTAAATGAGGCACAGATTGTAGTGTAAAGCGCTTTGAGTGTCTTGATAAGATAGAAAGGTGCTATATAAGTACTGTCCATTAAAGTTGAAGGAAGAGCAAGACCCTTTTCAGGTGGATAATAATAAGGTGGTTGCCTGACTAGGAAGTCCCTAATAAAGCAAAAAGTACTTTAATATCCCTCAGAGGGGTTTGTACACATAGTTGACTGTTTTGTTGTATGTTATTTTGCATTCTAACTTATTCCATACCATCTGAGTTGGGTGTGTATTTGTCAGATCATCTAGACTGTCCTCATGGTCAGATGAATGTCCAATGCTTCAATGTCCTGTTCAAACACAACCGTTCTTCCCAAACAGACAACTAATGGCGGAGATGTGATTTAAATTGGTTTGCTGCAGTACGCCTTGCTGATGTAGCTAAATAGCAGTTTGAAGGCCTTGTGAACTGTTTTATCGGGATAAGGAAACTTCAGTTGGTTGACATTTCCTGCGGTGATGTGTTTGACAGATTGAGACTAACCCCGGGACTCTGGGGTCGTTCTGCGGTAACAAACCTCCTCCATCTCCCCTTCTCACTCACTCCCATCATGTCCAAATCCGCTTCATGTCTGACGGTTTCGGCTCCAACAAAGGCTTCAGCCTCCACTTCAAGACCAGAGGTAATCCAGCTCCTTTAATATAATGAAAAAAAAAAAAACTAGTATTTTTTTTAAGTATTTGTTGAAAAGAACTTGTGCTCTCATACACAGATAAGGTTTGTAGACCAGAAGTGACCTCAAACTCCATCATGACTCCTCAGGAACCAGAATATCATCGGGGACAACAAGTGAAAGTGACATGTGATGTTGGCTATGCTGCAAATTTAGTAAGTCCACCAAAAAAACAAACAAACAAATATATAAAAATAACTCTACCTGCCACACTACACTATAAAACCCTAAGCTTCCATTTGGTAATTACCAGGACCAGGCCCTGTTAACACAGTATGAGACAACCTGTCAGAGCACAGGCACATGGGCTCCCATTTATCCCTGTGAAAGTGAGTCAGACTAAAATCAATGCAGGTTTTTTACTTTTTCACTAGTTTTAGGTTTCTTTTATTGAGCTTGCCTGTTGTGCTTCTTACTCATATGTACAGTTGTGGATTGCGGTGTGCCGCCGATTGGAGACAATAGCATCCTTCAGTTGGTGGACTCAGTTCAACAAAGCACCACGTATAACGACCAGATCCAGTTTCACTGCAATTCAAAATACTACAAACTGGAAGGAAATGGTGACTACATAAATCCTTCCCACATATGTTCTCAGGTTAACTGATGTGTTATTCATTAGTTTTACCAATGCGCTTACTTCAATCTTTCAGGCACATACACATGTCACGCCAGCGGTGAATGGGTATCAGTGGACGGCAAGGAAGGGATGCCAATATGTACTGAAGGTAGGTTGTTGTTTCTCTTTCCATAGCAATCACCTATTTTGGGGATCTTTACTGATTATCTTTGTGCATTTTTAGTGTGTGGGATTCCTGAAAAACACTCTTCAAGTTCAGGCAGAGTTTTGGGAGGAAATAATGCAGCACTGGGAGAAATACCGTGGCAACTTTTAATAAAAGAACCAAAAAGAGGAGGAGCTTCGCTGATAAACGATCGCTGGGCTGTCACCGCTGCACATGTAGTGACTGGATTTGGAGGAACCTTACAACTCTCAGGGGGACTAGTATATGAATCATCGACTAATGCATCTGTCATCTACAGTGAGAAGATTATAATTCATCCTGGCTATGAAAATAACGAAGAAACAAATTTTGATAATGATATTGCTCTTATAAGATTCAAGTCTAGAGTGAACTTGGGTCCAAACCTCCTTCCTATTTGTTTGCCAAGAGCAAGTAGGGGAGTCATAGAAAATGAACAAGGCACAGTGTCAGGATGGGGGGTTACTCGCGAGAATGAGAAGTTTGTCCTCTCACAGGTTTTACAATACACTCATATTCCAGTTAAATCCTTATCCATCTGTGAAGACACACCTACCGCTAAAAACAAAAAAGGGACTTTCACTGACAACATGTTCTGTGCTGGAGCAGATGGGAAGGACAGTTGTCCTGGAGACAGTGGCGGTCCTTTTTTTTCACCCATGCTGTCTTCAAATGGAGGACCTCATTTCCTAATTGGCATTGTGTCCTGGGGACCCAAGTGTCGGACTCGTGCCTACAAGGGCTATTACACTAAGGTGGAGAATTATTTAGACTGGATTCAAAAAACAATTGAAGCAGAAGAAAACCAGTAACGATAAAGCCAAAAAACCTTTTTGATATTGATGAAAAAAACAAAAAACAATACTATGTCTGAATAATCTCTCTAAACTAACAACTCGTTTGAAAAAGATCAAATAATCAAATATTCTAAAATTACCAGAAAATGACAGTCATGCATTATGATCAATATACTCCACTACTTACTTTACCTTAAAGAAAATGTGAACAAATCATCTGCAGACTTTAAAAACTTTAAATCTTACATGGTCTATTCATTTAGTGTGAAACTAAATCTACAGATAACGTATGTTTTGCATTAAGCATATCAGGCATAAAAATATAACTCTGAATAAACAGTATGACAAAAATGGTTCAGTATAACAATTTTTAAAATTAGAACTCTCTCACCATAAACCAGTATGTATCATATTAAAGCAAATTATGAATAAAACAAAAAAAATTGTGCAGTGTGTGTCACTGTAACACGTTATACACAATTAATACGAAATAAACAATAACTCTCAGAGGTTTATGTTGTTATTTGCATTGTAAAAATAACTTTAGATTTCTTATTATAATCTTTTAAAATCGTTACCTTTTGATTACTCATATTGCTGAAGATTTGATATGATGAGTGAAGGTTTTAGTTATGACTCTGTTACACATCTAACTTTACAGCTTGTCATGTGAATAATTTTTTTAATGTTTTTTTTCTCCAAGAATGTGTTGCAACAATATAATGTTATTTTGAGCAGTCAGTGACAAGTTTATATAATTGTTACTGAGGGACATGAACAAAAACTGTTATTGCAAAGAATCAGTCACTGCTTTGAAATGTACTGTGCTGAAAACAGTCACCAGCAGCTGAAACATTAATAAAAAACACAAGTTTCAGCAAATTTAGAGGTGGTGCCCCTTTTTATTCAGTGTGACTTAAGGTTTCCAGGGTTACATAGACATAGAAGCTCTGTGTCTATGGATATCATTACAACGAAATGCATTTGTGAATAAAACCGGTTAATCTACTTGTTTTTCTATTTCTCGGTGTAAAGCACAAGATAAGTTGCAAACTTGCTGTAAACGCTTCATAAATTGCTGCTGCGATAATAAACAGTAATTTTTATATTAAATCTATATGAATAGAAATTAGAATTTAAAAAAGGGGCGAAAAGTTGCACACATTTTTAAGTTTAACCTTAGCCATGTTTTTTTAATTTAAGTACAGTAATCTAGTTTAATCTGTTAGTCTATGTAGTTAAGTGAACATAGCCTACATGGATGGGTACAGTAAAAGCTGAAAACATGTTATTTACAACTTTAAATTTTTCAATTAAAATGTAGTGCTTAAGAACATGCACCCAGGGAACTTGTTATCACCATGGCAACACTTCCTATTGAAGCTCCGGAAGACTCAGGATTGTGGGAAATGTAGTTTAAATTTAAACGGAAGCAGAGCGGTTACACTAGGGACAGAAATACGTTTAATACTGCTAAGAAACAATATCACCACACTGTTTGGTCATTTTGAATTAGTAAGAAGTTGCTTCAACCTGCTGCTTGAAGATCCAGAACTTTTAAAACAAGTTTGTTCTCATCCAAAGTGAAACAATCGAGGGGCGTGATGATGTCTGAAAAATATAAACACCACCATCTTGTGGTTTAATTATTAAAGACAGTGGATACAATAACTATTATATAAAAATATAAACAATACAACTTGAAAACATAAAAATAATCAAGTTAGATCAATAAATTGTATTTGATGACTTCTCATGTAACTGCTGTTGTTGTTTTTAATTCCTCACAAAATGTTCACAATTTTCCCCTTTTCTGTTTGTTTCTGCTCTTGAAAGTCAAGGATGTTCTTGATTTTGCCAAGACAAACAAACCATATTCCTGGCAATAACGCAATGAGTTGCTAAACATTTGAAACTGCAGCCATTAGGACATTAATGTTTTACTTGTTTGTCAGACTTTTGCTACTACACGGGCAGATTAGATCACTCATGGATAAACTCAGTCTCAGGATGGGGTGGATTTCTTTTACTGTCTGGTAAGTTTTATTTAGATTTTTGATCATTTATATGAGCTTGTTTTCTAACACATTTTTGTGTCTTAATTCTAAAAGCCCCAATAAATACCAGCTAACAACTGGAGAATTTCTTCTTCTTAGTGCTGTTATAATGATGTACTGTAGAATACTATAGGTGAGCATATTTCAAAAGGCTAATGGATCATTCAAAAGCACGCCATTAATAATGTCCTAAATATTATTTGGCCTCAACACTTGTGATGATGTCACTGTGTTTGTTCTTTTCTGTTTGAATTAACTTTGGACCTGCAGCTCACAGGACAACAGACTAAAAAACACACTGAACTCCTTTTGCACCTCTCCAGGTTTCTGTATGTGTTGGTGTGTGAAAGCCTTCCGCTGCCTGACTCAGATCTTCCCATGCATGGGGAGGTCCATTCCTCCCAGTATCCTGAGCCGTATCCCCCAAACCTGCAGGAGCAATGGGACCTCAGTGTGCCAGAGGGCTTCCAGATCCGACTAACCTTCACACATTTGGACATCGAGGCGTCTGCTGGCTGCTTTTATGACTCACTTACAGTCAGAACCTTACTTTACATTACAAACAAGAACAATATTCCAGGATCTTTTACAAAAAAATTCTCAAAAATAATAATGTTTGCACTAAAGAAACATTCATTAACTCATAACTACAAATGATTCTTGTTGCTGATGTTGACTTTATGTTATGGGGATTATAAAATTACTTAGGCAGGCATTTTACATTTTTTAGGATTTTAGGTTAAGATGAACAGCTAACTGATGATTAGCCCAAATATGTTGCAGCACAGATTGTAGTCTCAGGTCAGCAAATCTTTTGAATGTTCCCACCAGTCAGCTTCAATTTACTACCAGTTTACAATACAAACTTTACTGAAAATACTCGATCAGTTGATGAGTTTTTGAAGTTTATCTGTAGTAAATAAAGTACATGACTGCAGATCTGATTATTCTGCAACACAAGTATTTAGTTTCAGGCGTAATATTTTATTTCAATCTGAGATATTGTGTTCATCCAGAAACTTCAGCTTTTTCAACCACTGATACTGCTAAGTATTCAACATTATTATTTTTTCTTGCTTATCGATAAACTCTCCAATTAGCCAGACTTGGTTGTTCATGAACAACTGAACTACTTTTAGTTTCTTTCTAGCAATACATCTGGTTTAAATCCAGGCCACAATTACATTTTCCTTATGAATTGAGAAGAAATTTGTGCAAAATACAGCTTTGTATTTGCTGATATTTTGTTCTCAGTTAGAATTTTTTTGTTCCATTTATTTATTTGTTTTTCCATTGTGTTTAGTTTATCATCCTTTACCTGTCAGGTGCTTTATGGTGAAAAGCTGCTCTGGAAGTTCTGTGGCAGTGTGAACTCTACTGACGGGCTCCACCCAGGCTACGAGCCCATTTTGACTCCAGGAAACAGAATCACCCTCATTTTCCAGACAGATCACTACAATGCAGAGCGCCATCAGAACGTGGGATTCTCCGCTCAGTACCAGGCCATAGGTGCCACAGTCTCTACTTGTCTTCTGTCACTTCCTTTCTCCACAACTATCCCGCTAACGCAGAAACATTCTCATCTTTAGACACAGATGAATGTTCGGCACCAGAACCTGAAGATGCATCAGGTCCTCTCTGCTCTCAGATCTGCCTCAACACACTGGGGTCATATCTCTGCTCCTGTCACCATGGTTACGAGCTACGCTCTGACCAGCGTACCTGCACGTGTGAGTTTGATGCGGATACAGTACAAGCTTCAGTTACTGATTATGCATCTCTTTTTCATATTTAGATGTTGAAAAACACAATCCTAAACTTATGAAAAACTGATTTGAAAATTTTATTTGAATTTTGTTAAAAATATAAAGTAAAATGACAAAATTACAAATCTTTACTTAAGCATTGTCTTCCCTGTGTCTAGTATCTTGTAGTGGAGGTATATTTGATGAACCAGAAGGACATCTGTTCAGTCCTGGTTACCCAAACGTTCTGCCTCACACTATGTCCTGTCAGTACGTCATTTCTGTAGAATCTGGCTTCACTGTCGCTCTTAACTTCTCTGATAAATTTCACATTGAGAGTGTGGACACAGAGGAAGGCCCAAAATGCCTCTTTCACTGGCTGGAGGTAATTCATGCAGCTTTACATGCTTTTAATAAAGTAAACAAAGGTAAATGTCTCTAAGATGTATGTTGTTGAAAAATAAACACATTTTGAACAAAATGGTTCTAAAAGGTGATCATACCAAACCAAGAGTCCATGAAGTTGTGCGGTGGAACAAGCCCAGGACTGATAGACACAAACTCAAACATTGTTACGCTGAACTACCACACTGATGATCACGGACTGAGCAACGGTTGGAGCCTGGACTACAGCACCAACAGTGAGAGGATGAACGTCTCAATAAGTGAATGAGTAATTAAACTGTAGCTGAAGATCAAATTAGCAGCTGATCACGTCTTTACTTTGTTTCTAGGAGTGAAGTGTCCACTTCCTGGTAATGTAGTTAAAGGCAGGGTCACTCCCTCTCTGACTGAATACTTCTACAGAGACTACATCTACGTGCGCTGTGATCAAGGATACAAGCTGATGGTGGTAAGTTCATACCTTTTTATGTTTGTAAATTTAAAATTAATGTTTTAGTAATGTAGTATTGTAATCCGTGTCTTTCCTTTATTTATTTCTGGGTCAGGATGGTCATGAAATTGAGAGTTTCTCCACTATTTGCCTAAACAATGGACAGTGGCACCTCCCTCTACCTGAATGCCACAGTATGTTAGATTTGAGCTGGGTCAAAACATACACGGAAAATAAAACTCAGAAGTCCATTTTATCATTTTCAGTGTGTCGCTGACAAAGTAGACATATTTTCTGTTCTTCTATAGTAATTGATTGTGGTGAACCTGAACCTTTGCTGAACGGAGGAGTGGCTTTCCAGTCTGGCTTCAAGAATCAGTATCTTTCTGTTGTTGAGTATCACTGTGATGAACCATTTTACGTCCATCTTGGTGGCATTAATGGTAAGATTCTAACACGTAGTATTGTCTCACAGATTTAAACATTTTCTATATTACCGGTACTTTCCATTATTAGCATTTATGATAGCCCATCACTAAAAGATAAGAGATAATGTGACTGTGTTTGAATTTTTGTGTGTCTCTACTTGTTTTTTAGTAGTTCTTTTTAGGACAGGGAGTTACAGGGCCCAAAGATCGGTCCTAAAATGTTGAAATGCAGTTTTGAGTTTAGGATTAGGGCTATAGTGTGTGTTGCATATAAGTTAAGGTTAAAGTAAAGTAAAGTGCTATGTGTTGTCATCATTGTATTTTCCCATACAATGATGAAATTAGTTCTCTGCATTAATTAGCCCATCACGCGTGGGATACACTCAGATGCAGCAGTGGGCAGCTATGTAAGCACCCCGGGAGCAATTGGGGATTAGGTGTCTTGCTCAAGGACACCACGACATGTGGGCATGGTGGGGAGTTGAACCTGTGACTTTCTGGTCCCAAGTTGGCTGCCCTACCTCTACACCATCTCGGCCCCAGAGGGGTTACAGAAATGATTAGTACAAGTTCAAGTTCAAGGTTCTTTATTGTCATTCGCATCACACGAGGTGGAACTAAACTGTGTACTCAAGGTTCCAGTTAGGACCTTATTAGGCTAAAGAAATTATTAGAAGTCAATACAATGTTCTAATAAGGACATAAATACAAACGCGTGTGTGTTCATTTGTACCTATGACAGCAAAATATTGTCTGAAACAGTGTATAATTTTTAATGAAACTTTCAATAATCATGTAAGAACAACTTATTAACTTTTGAAAATAACCTAAATTTAAGATGGTTGTCATAGTTACTCAAAGTTAGCCAATTAGAAAATGTCCTCTGTTATTATTACTATTATAATTTTGTTTCAGCTGTTGAGCTAAAATATGGTTTGCTCATAGCTGAAAGTCATCCCAAGCACATACTCCTGAGTACTATCAGATTGTCTAAATAAATAAATATATTTATATATATATATATGGCAGTGGGTTATATGCATTCCTTTAAAAAAACCGCTGGGATTATAATCTAATACGTTTTTTTCCATCCTGAATTATATTGTATGTAAAAAATGAAAAAATGTTGACAATGTGAAAGAAATCAAAATTACAGTGTGTGCCGACTTAACTGTTGTAAGAGTATGTTCAGGTAAGGTACAGGTCACTCTCAGATGTTGAGTCATTTTTATTCTGTGTTTCACTCCTCAGCTACTTTCACTTGTGAAGCAGACAGAAAATGGAGATCCAACCATGAAAACATTTTCAGTCCAATATGCCTTCCAGGTATTACTTTTCATCTCTATATTTTTACATCTTTACAACTTTACCTGGCATATCTACTTTATTTAAGTATGTATATCCGTGATATATCCAGTGTGCGGTCGACCAACAAAACAAATCAATGACTTTGAAAGGATTATTGGAGGAAAAGATGCTCCAGAACATACCATCCCCTGGCAAGTGTTGTTAAATGTAGGTGGCAACAGGGGAGGAGGTGCAGTCATAGCAGATCGCTGGATTCTGACTGCAGCTCATGTGGTGGTATATAATGGACAAAAGATACAAACCAACGCTGTAGATGTGAGTAGTATTTGGTAAGTGTTGTCTGGTCATCTACTGACTCTATGGTCTCCCATCCATATATTTTCTTCTAATGATTTGCAGATTTACATGGGAGGCACAGATGTTCACAGAATTGGAACAAGCCTTTTGCATCCTGCTTCAATCCATGTTCACCCTGAATACAACAACGCTGACAATTTAAACTTCGACAATGACATTGCACTGGTCAAACTGCCAGACCCGATCAGGTTCAGTGCAGCTATTATGCCAGTGTGTCTGTCAGCAGAGGATGCCACATATGTCACAGGCATGATAGGGTAAAGGAAAATGAACTCTGTCAATTTATATTACCATAAAATTTATTTGACACCATTTATCATTTCTTAGGTGAACTGTTCTTATTTTATAGTTAATTCTTCCCATATGTTTTACCTGCATAAAATAGCCAAACTTTTTTTGTGAGCCAACTGGTTTTCAATTTAAAATGTTGATTAATGTTTCTTATTCTGTTTTTAGGCAGGTTTCAGGCTTTGGTATTACCATTGAGAAAGGCCGGCAGATGTTAACAAATAAGCTGAAGTATGTGAAGCTTCCTTTAGTGAGTCAGGAGATATGCAATAGTTCAATCACAATGAAGAGAAGTATGTCCGACACACCAACACTGACAGATAACATGTTCTGTGCTGGAATTCCTGAAGGAAAGACAGACTCTTGCAAAGGTGACAGTGGAAGTGTCTTCACTTTGACTGAAAACGGACAATTTTGGGCTGCTGGAATTGTCAGCTGGGGGCTCAATTGTGAACAGAAGGGAACATATGGAGTCTACACCAAAGTTGATAATTATCTGGACTGGATCAACAAGGTCATGCAGGAGAAATAAAGCAATAAATACACAAGCTATAGTGAAAATGTCTTTGAGGCCAATGTAAAATCATCAACCACAATACAAGCCAGGCTAAACCTAATTTGTCTCAGTGTTGTAGAATAAACTTTTATTGTTCACCAATTTTTCAACTGGTTGTCAGTCAATGCATTTTATTTGAATCTCAGCAACAACAAAAAAAAGTTCATATATAGTTAGAAAACAAAAAGTTTAATCCAGATATTTGTGAATTCTTGCATGCTTGGGATGTGTATCAAGTAAACACATCTTCTGTCTCCTGTGTTGCTGATTATCTGTCTTATAAGGATCAGTATGTACACGAGAATTCAAGCAACAATTAGTAAACACAACACAATGGTGAAGATGTCTTTGAGCCTAATGTAAAAACGACAACCACAATAAAACACTCTAAAATACAAGATAAATCATACATTTAGAAAAGTACAGGGGAATATGAGTTACTAATCCAGGTTCGCAACACAAATAATAAACACAACAAGTGTTGAAAAAGGTTTTGAGACTAAAGTAAAAACAGAACCAATCACAATTCAGCCAATTCTAATCCTAATTAAAAACTTGAAATTCAGTCATTTTTAACAAACTTAATTTGTTGAAAACATTTCCAACTGATTGTACACTGGTGTCTTCTAAATAAAGTGATTCAATCCAAAAAAAAAAAGTGTTTTCCACATTACATACAATATCTTGTTTCCTAGCTGGTTGCCAGATCAATATCTGCTTTAACGGCATTGATGACTCAAATATATGGGAAGTAAAGCGTCTATTAATTTTTTTTCCCCTTGTTCAAAACAAACAAACAAAAAAGAGTCACTTGACCTGAGCTCAAATCGTGTGGTTTAAGTAACATTATAGTCTCTAAGTTTTTACTGTTATTATACAATGGTGGAGCCAGTGTTAGCATAATTTTTAGGGGGGGGGGGGGTTGCCAAAGCAAACCGAAAAACAGTGTAGATTAAACTCTACTGAAGGACACCACAAGTTACAACTAGACAGCATTTATATAAGTTTAAATATGAAACATATCCCCTAAAATAAAAAAAAGAAACACCCATGTTCAGAAATTATCTTAACCAACTTTAATGTCTGATGAGTTTGATCAAGTCTCAGTCGACACACACAATGTCACACACTCACTTTTCCATGACTTTCTGTGTACATTTAAATTTTTAACAGAGCTAGTCAAATGTTTAGTGTCCTCTAATTATATGCTGCTCCTGCACTATATGCCTTAATTAAACTTTTGTTCTGGGCATGCCACTTTTAAACCTGAGGCATTTTATATGGCAGTAAAAGTTTAATTTCATTCCTCTGGAACGTCTCTGAGACATTCAAAGACCCCATTAGATGTATTTAAACAACTCAAATAAATATGGGTATCCACAGTAACAGGCATGACGATGTAAAGAAGCCAAAACAGACACATTTTTATTACTGTTAAATGTTTTACATTTACCTCTTTTGTACTTGTTCTGTCTCAGTTTGTATTTAAACATTTCTAGAAAAAAAATGGAATTATGTTTCAATCAAATTTACCTTACATCCTTCCAAGGGAGATGTCTGGGTTTGGCATAATGGCATTATGAAATATCAAAAGCCAGTTTTGTAAACAGACAAACATGAAATCTGCTGATTAATAAAAAGCTCAACATACCAAATGTGAGAAGTAACATGTTTTGTGCACAAGTACTAGAGTTCCCTTGCCAATGGTGAAATACTGTTGACTCTAAATGAAGAAGATAAAAACAAACACATACCTCTAGGCTGCTGGTCAGTAGAGTTTTGGATGTTCAAACCAAAGAACATACAGATCATTTGGAGTTTATACTGGAGAAATAAAACAGTGCAGGAAAATAAGATGAATAAATGACAATGAAAAACACTTCTTAGTGCACAAACTTATTGTTTCCTGCTTTGCTTGACCAACTTTTTCATTTCAGATCTGCTACCAACAGGTTTACTTGTTGTCCCTCCCTCACTTTTCCTTCCTGACCAACATTTTATGTGATAATCCAAAACGGTGATATTCTGAAATCTTGCATAATACAGATTATGCACATTCAGCTACCACAGAATACGTCAAGTTTGCTTATAATAACTATACATAGTTTGCCTTTTTAATTCAATTCAAAAATACTTTATTAATCCCAGAGGGAAATTATTTGTTGTTGTAACTCATTATCCTAATTTCATTAAGAGCTGTTATAAATACTGATGGCTGTAGACAGGAAGGATCTCTTGTAAAGGTCCATCCCACAGTGGGTCCTAAGAAACTGGCTGCAGATGCCGGTCGATCCGTCCACCCAGACTCGACTGGCCTCTCAGTTCCTCCAGGCTGTAGGATCACCCGAATGCCAGGTAGAACATCTCCCAGAGCGATGGTCACTCCTCCCAGCAGTCTGCCGAGCTCCTTGTTGCTGCAGACAGACAACTGTAGGTGCCGAGGGACGATCCTGTCCTTCCACTGTCATGAGCCGTGTCTCCTGCTAGTTCCAGGATCTCAGTGGTCAGGTACTCGAGCACAGCTGGCAGGTAGATGAGAATGCGTCCACAGAACATCCTTTTCAACTCATTTGAGATTTGGGGCTGTAGCTGAGCTATTATTTGAGCTTTTGAGATGTTAATCAGCTGCTGTTGATTGTAGAAAAATGCCTTGTTGCCATGGTTACGCATCATAACAAATGTCCAAAACTTAAAAAGTTTCAGTAAAAATCCTTCCAGCTGCACAGCATTCGATACCAGAGGAAACAATCATCCAAAAAATGTGATTTACATCCAGAAAAAGAGGAATTAAAGTTTCCAAAAGCAAAATCTCAGAATGAAAGTAACAGAGCTGCTCCAACATGCAGCCACCTTGAGCGGCGCAATTCTAGAATAGATGTGTTTAGATGTCCATCCATCCATTATCTTTACCCGTTTATTCCATTTTGGGTCACGGGGGTCGCCGGTGCTCATGTCCAACAATCACTGTGCAAGGGGCGGGGTACACCCTGGACAGGTCGCAAGTCCATCACAGGGCCAAATAGAGAAAAACAACCATTCACTCACACTTAGGGACAATTTAGAGTCACCAATGAGCCTAACATGCATGTTTTGTATCTGGAGAAAACCCACGCATGCACGGAGAGAACAAACAAACTCCAGAAAGGCACCCAGACTGGGATTTGAACCGAGGACCTGCTCGCTGAGAGGCAGCAGCTCTACCAGTTGTGTCACCGTGCTGCCCCATGTGAAACCATTCATTTCTAAATACTGGAAAAAAAAAATCTATTAATCTATTGAATTTTCAGTTCCATAGAAGTTAAGTTTTTGTTGTATTGAATTTTTATATAAGCTCCAATTAGTTTATTGTACATTTCGATTAATGACAATATCAGCTTTCTTACTCACTGACTGGAACTCAAGTTAAATATATTTTCAATAGAAGTTCATGAAGGCTGCATTACGACTTGGTAGTGATTTACCAAAAACAGAAAAACACAGAATTAAAGAAAAAACTTCCAGCTGGCAACAGAACATCCTTCAAAAAGAAATAAATATGTTTTGAAACCAAATAAAACTCCGAATTAACAGGGCTAATGGTGATTGGGCTAAAAAAGCTAAGCTAGTAGTTTTGGAAAACCTTGTTTTCATTTAAATCAAATACATTTGACCTTTAGAATAAACAAAGTTATTAAAAAGTAAAATATAATAATAATTATTTTTTTTTTACAATTTATTATCTGTTATTTTCCAGTCAGCTAGAATACACAAAACTTCTTATCTTATTTTAGCCTTACCGTAGAATTCGGTATGATTTTTATTTGAGCAATACGTGCCTGTTTCCATAGCAACCGGTGACTCACTTATTGCTGCGCTCTGATTGGCTGATCTCCGCTTTCGGTTTTGCTGCTCGCGTCTTCGCTCTGCGCATGCTCCTGACAGCGAAGGACGCATCTGCAGTTTTTAACGCAAAAGTTAACTTTTTCATTCTAATTCAATTAGTTATAGCTGTCCGTTTAGTGAATGCGACGAATGGGGCAAAGAAAGGATTTTCAAACATTCTCGCATGTAAAGAAAAGGTTGACTATATGATGTCTCGGTAGCTTTGAAATCAAAAGTGAAAGTTTTGTGGTGGGCGCTTGATAATTATTTCTCATTAGTTTTTATTGTCATTATCTCGGATTTTATGTCTTCACGATGATTGAAGTAATTTTGTTGGGCTGTTTTTTGATGTTCGTTAATGGTAAGAAGATTCAAACTCGTGGCATCTTATTAAAGCGTTAGACAGTTTATGATAAACTAACAGCTGTAGCGACCTTCAGCTCAGTAAAGGCATCTTTGGAGAAAACTCTTTCAAATAGTCTGATTTATTATCCCTGATTAGGACTTTTGTAGAAGCACAGACTTAAGTTACATAAAGCAAATTTTTAAAATGTAAACATTAGTCTTCAGTAGGCTATACTCTACACAAATTCTTATTTTCTATAAATTTAACATCACAAATCAAGAACTTGTCCTCAAAATAAGTAATTTTTATGAATGTCATCATCTATATTTATATTAAATACATCTTAAAAATTGAATTTTAATTTATATTTTAGTAAGATTTAAAAAAAAAAAGGAATCAGGAGTCTGATAATTCTCTACCAGAGTTTACTTGTTAATGTTAGAAAAGTGATAGAAAAATAAAAAATATATATTTTTTTATTTTTCAGGTGATGGCGTTGCAGATGTCGTACTGTCCTGTGCTTTGGTGGAGGAGGGAGTCGGACTGGGAAGAATGGGAGGTGGTGCTCTTTTCACTCGAACTCCAGCCACTCTGGTTCTACGAGATGTTCCAGTGGGTCCAGATGACTCACTGGACACACTAACTCCGTTTGTCCCCCCTTTGGTCCCTGATCCAGACCTCCTTCTGTTTGAGCTCAAAGGTTTCTCCAATTTTCTGAACATGCATAATCTTAAGTATAAGCAGTGGTTACATTTATCTTATTCCAATGTCTCAGTGTCATCGCCAGAGATCCCCAACGCAGACCTGTTGCTCCACGCAGACTGCAATGAACTGGAGGTGATGTGTGAAATAAGTCGCTACTCTCCTCGGGGACGCCAGGAAGGTTCTGATCCCACTTATTTCATGGTGTCTCTCAGTGTGGAGGAAGTAGACTTCAGCACGTCTCTGATCCTTCAGACTCAGTCAGTGGAAAAGACCCCGTCGACCCTGATTCAAAACAAACTGGGTTTGCCTCTCAGTCAGTCAGGAACTCTGCAGACGAAAGGTAAAACAACCATCAGGGAAAATAAAGTTAAAAGTAAAATATCATTAGAAGAAAGGTATTTTCTGTGAGACAGCAGTGAAAATGCTGCTGTAAATGACTGCTGAAACTTGCTGATGAAGCTAAGTTGTTAAAGTAAAAAGAAGCAGAACATTAAATGCTCAAAAGAGTAAAATGCTGGGTAGAAACTAAAAATATGAAAAAGCTGAATAAAGCATCTGAAAAGTTAACTAAAAGCTGAAAGTAGTGAAATGCTTGCTAAAATCTTAAAGTAGCACATCTAGCTAAAAACAAAGTTTTCAAGGGCTAATTAAAAGCAAAGAGTAGCAAAACATTAGCTAAAAGTAGCTAAATGCTAGCTGAAAGTAGCAAAAGGCTAGCTAAAAGTTTAAAATGTCTAGCTAGAAATTAATAACACTAAAGGATGACTAAAAGAAAAAATTGGTGAAAGGTTAGCTAGAGTCTTTAAATGACAAAAGGCTAGCTAAAATATAAAAGTATCAAAAGTTTAGCTGAAAGCAACAAAAGGCAAAAGTGAAATGATGCTAAAAATTAAAAGTAGCAAAATGTTAGCTTAAAGTAGCTGTTGCTAAAAGACACCGATGAAACTTATGCTGAAGCAAACTTTTAAGACAATGTTTTTAAAGAATTTGAAAAGATCTGAATGTGTTTCTGTTGGGAAAATTATTGTATATGTTGAGTATTTTGCAACGTATTAAAGTTACAAAAAATGCAGCAAAGTTAAGTTAGGTCCTCTGGATGTTTACTTTTTTTTGTTGATATGATTTGTTTTTTATTTATTTTTGTTGATATGATATTGAAATCTTTTACCTGGATTATTGAGCATGAACTTTGATGTTTTGAACCACTTCGACAATGGCTGCCTCAGAGGAGTCGACGGGGGAGAGTGCGGACTCCAGAAACCATCTTATCCACTTGGCCCACTATGTGAGTGTGCTGCTTGTGGGACTGAGTTTGTTGAGGCTCCTCCTCGGACTGATGAAGTCCTTTGAATGAAGGAGGAAATGTTTCAACATAAAATAAAATAAAAACATCCAGAGAACCTGACTTAACTTTGTTGGATTATTTACCTGGAATATTGAGCATGATCTTTAATATTACAAAAAATGCTTTTGTCATTTTGTATCTTAGTGATATTCCTGGTGTTTTCCAACATAAAGTCTGTATCGACTCCTTTGAGAGGCGATGTTCTCCTCAGCTGTGGCTTCAGGCAAGAGGAGGTACCGTTAGGACCGGAGGTTGGTGTCGAATGGAGACTGCAGCACAGAGGAAAAGGCCAGAAAGTGTTGGAAATGAAGACAAAGTTAAACGGTACAGAAGGGGCCTCAGTAGGTGAGTGTGATTAACAACGAACAGGCAGAGCAACTTTTTGATGCAGGCCTGGCCTTTAGTTCTTTTGAGGTTGAGATTGCTTTTTTATGGTAAGGTTTAGTAATTTTTGGTAAATATTGGTCATTAAGAGCTTGGTCGTTAATTCTATTTTCATATTGTATTTAGTATTTTAACAAGAATACACTTCAACTACAACAACATGGCTGTGTAAAAATCCATCAGGCAGGGGGTCCATGTAGATATAAGTTCAACATTTCAAAACATTCACCTCCTCCACCTACTGTAGCCAGTATCTCACTGGGCTGTGACTGTTGGTGACAACAACTTTGTGACGGTTTGGCAACCTTTAAAATTAAATTGTGATGAGTAGAGACAATTATGAGAACTGGACATTACAGGCCCCACGTGACCCGGTTAATTGATGATCGCCTTAACAAACACGTCCGTCAAGTTCTCATCCAGGGTCGGGTGCTCCTTCAGCAGTGTTGTGGTGGATGCCATGAAATATGAGGAAATGGTTTAAACACACAAACTTTATTTCAGTAGCTGTTGAGACTCCATTACTGAACACGATTCTCCTGTCTATTTCTAACACATTTTCTGCCATACCTTATTAGAGCTGTGATTTCTGGCCCGAGCCCAACCCGACCTGACCCGAATTTCGGGTTGGATCGAACAAAAATGATGTGCTTGATGACAATGTTTGTTTTCTCAGTCATCCAGGTATATAACAACAAAAAAGGTTGAATCATGTCATCTGGACTTCGTTTTTT